AGAATTTATTACACTTGTCATCCTTTTAGGGTTCCCTTTTAAGCTTTTAGAAAGTTATTTTAATAATATTTTAATAGTATTACTTTTCCTGGAAGATACCAGTGTGTGGTATATAGATCTTTTATATACGTTCAAAGTTATAGAATTGATTTTCTTAATGTATGAGTTACAGTGGAAAAATACTTAGACTGTTGAGTAAAGTGTAGACAAAGCTAGTACAAATTTCTTTTATATTTTTTTCATATTTGGCTGTTTTTGGCTATGATACAGGGTCAGCAATGATCCTTCCCCCAGCTCGTGAACTCTGCTGTTATAGTAGGGGAGCGCCTGTAGGTAGTATGAAACAGGGGGACATATTTGTGCTCCAATAAAACTTTATTCGCAAAGTGAGACAGCATCATATTTGGCTCTCAAGTTGTAGTTCAGTGAATTAGAATTTAAAGCGAAATACAGCTTGTCACTGTAATAGTTCTCTATTTGTCATATGTTTTATTAAGTTTGCTTAAATCCTTTTCTAACTCAGTCCTTGCATGCCTATTTCTGCCTCCTTTAACTTTACATTTTCATTCACCTATGTGAGAGTGTCACAGTTTATTCTAAGGTCTCTAACATCCTTGTAACACTCTTAAACTTCTTTCTACCCTTGTTACTAAAACTCCTTCAGTCAAATTCATCATTTGCTAAGTTTCAAGAGAGAATAATGGTAAAGAAGTAGAGGTCCTGAATATCAAGTGAAGATAGATTCCCAATCAGTTTGGGTGGTGGCCCAATCAGTTTGGATGGCCAGGACATACACTCTGTCTTTAAAAGCTGGGTAGAAATAAAGAATTAAGAAGAAGAGTGTTTCAGTAAGTCATTTATCAGGGGAAGCACAATATTGCCTCCCTTGCTCCATACCCTGAATAAGGAGTCCTGCCATGGATTGGTCTTTTTCACGGTCATTTTGTGGAGCATAAGGATAATGATGTGACTTGGTTTTTCTCTTGGGAAACTGTCACTTTGAATTCTTTTTTCCTTCCATGTGATTAGTGAGACAGAATGGGGATGGGTGCTGACCTGCCCCGGGAAAGCCAAAGACCTGTGGTCTATACCAGCATTGCTTTCAGACTTTGACAAAGGGCCTCTCTCTGCTTGGCTTGATTTATTCCTCCCTCCCTCAGTACTGTGGACTGAACCTGGGGCCTTCACTGAACTGCATCCCAAGTGCTTTTTAATGCTTTAAGACTAGGTCTCACATAAGTTGCCAAAGATGGACTCCAACTTATGATATTCCTGTATTAGCCTCCCAGAGTTCTGGAAATACAGGCATGTGCTTATTTTCTTAAGGACTCTTGGACATACGTTTAAGTGTCTTCCTGCTCTCACACTCAGTGCAGCTCTGAATACTTTACCTGTGTCACCAAAATGTGAATGCGTTTTTTTCCTTCCCAAAAACCAGTTCTTCAGCAGACCCCAGTCAAGTATCCTGTCGTTTAGTTCAGTCTTGCCACTCGGTCCCTGGAGACAGTGTCAGATCACACTGGATGAACATTCAGTCCTGCAACACTGCACTCCCTTGAAGCCCCAGGGTGTGAACTGTGCTTCTGACCACTCAATCTTGCTGTCAATCTTGAGACCCCCCTGCATCCCCTTAGGTTCCATGAAGGTACTAGGGTGGCTCACAGAGTTCGGGAGGCATAGTTGCTCTTTCCATTGAAAGGGCATCACCAGAGGTTCAACAGCAGGCAGAAGAGACACACAGGCATGGTTGGTGGAAGGCACACAGACCTTCCTTCTATGCCTCCTGTTCCTCTTATATCCTGTAGCCTGGAAGCTCTCTAAACCCTGCTTGGTGGGATTCTTGTGGTAGCTTCATTATGTAGGCATGAATGACTAAATCCTTGGCCACCCATCAGGTCAGTGCTTAGCCCTTTCAAGCCTCATTGGAGGTTGGACAAGTGGTCCAGGGTTTAAAGTTCCTACCCAAGATGGGTACAGTGGCTCATGCCTATAATCAGTACTCTGGGAGGTGGAGACAGAAGGATCACAAGTTCAAGCCCAATCTGGGCAACTTGGTGAGATCATATTTTTTATTTATAATAATAAAAAATGAGGTGGGGATGTTATTCATTGTAAAGGCCCTGGGTTCAACCTCCAGCCTCTCGGTAATGGGGGGAGAAAAAATTCCAACTTTGTAGTCATATGGTGGGCTCTGTTGGCGATGGCTGTCATCCTAAACATGTTCTGGAGCCCACTGGTTATCTCAGTAAAACAAAAGATTCTCTTATCACCCAGAGATGCCAAAGGAATTAGGAGGTTTGTGTTCTAGTACTCTACCACTTAGGAGATGATAAGAAATCTAAGAGCAGTTGTGTATCAGAACCAAGGGAAGAGACTGCTGTTTTTTCTGACAATGCCTTGGTAGGCAAATACAACCATAGGAATAACTACCTGACTTTCTTAGATTATAGAGTTCCTTCAAACAAACACAGAGATGAAAAGCAACTTCCATGGGATCTGGGTTAGCTCATTGGGGACATATTTGTGATTTGGAATTAAGAGTTTTTAAAAAATAGCTGTGGGGTGTGGTGGTGCATGCCTGTAATCTCAGCATTCCAGGAGGCTGAGGCAGGAATATCGGTGAGTTCAAGACCAGCCTGGGCTACAAAGTGAGCTCAAGGCCATTATGAACTGCAGAGAGAGAGACCCTGTCTCAAAAAAGACAAAAACCTACAAACAAAACAAAAAACTATGAATTAGCATTTCTCATGTGCACATATTTTCCTGTGGACTATGCCAAAAGAAGTGGTAGCTGTTGCAAGATGGATGGCTTATTGGCCCACATTTCATTGCTGGGACAGGATACCTGAAAATACAACTGAAAGGAGAAAAGGGTTATTTTGGCTCATAGTTTCAAAAGTTTCAGTCCATAGTCAGCTGGTTTTAAGGTAGAAACTGTGTTGGAAGGATTGGTGGAGCAAAGTTACTCAAGTCATGGCTACCAGGAAGCTGAGCATGCAAGAAAAAAGCAGAGAGGATGGACCCTTCAAAGGAAGCCCCAGGAGCTCACTTCCTCCAGCCAGGCCCCGAGTCCTCGCAGCCTGGTCAGCAGGAGACTCCTCATTGGTGGAGGAGCCCACTGATGAGGTTAGTGCTGTCAGTACGGGGGTCTATGGGATGCTTTGAAACCAAGCCACAGTGTTGTGGTTTCTGCCACCTGTCAGTCTCCTTAGGATTGGCTGTCACAGTAGTTACAGCCCAGCAGGTGAGGACTGAATATGGGCAGGTGCTGGGTCTGAAAGTACCGCTATGTGTGGAGAGGGGAAGCCCCTGGTGTGCCACGCCTTGTGTACTGTTTCTTTGTAGGTGCAGCTGTGGGCCTGGAGGACAGTATCCTGTAGTAAGTAGGGTCTTGAGTTGCCGGGACCTTTGGTGAGCCAGCTAGTCTGCCTGGACTGGCCCCAACTGCATGAATAACTTCACAGAAACCACAGTGCTTCTGTATCCTACTTGTTTCACCAGTTTCTGGAACCTGGTGCTGGAATTCACTTCTAAAGCCACATTACGTGAGCATATCTCTAAGACACTGGTGTTAGCTGCTAGATTGTTGGACTGGGTAGTGTTTCATTCTTTTACCTCAAGAGGAAGAAAGGGAGCACATCTCTGAGGCTTTAGTAAGTTGTGAACACCATGCTGTTTGAGCATGACAATTTGACAGAAGGCACTGAAGGCCGACTGGAGAATGAGAGTGTTACCATACAGAGAATATGGTGTCACATGAAATTAAGGTTGGGGAGATACCAGAATTTCTAAAACGTGGACTAAAATGGAGATAAAGTCCTGTCGCCCAAACTTGGGTTCTAGGAGTCAGGCTCCCTTGGGGGAAAGGCAGAAATCAGGCAGTAGGTAAATAAACCACAGCAGTTGACATGTGTGGAAAGTGGTGGTATGGCTGGGTTTGATGAGGGGCCCACAAGAAGCTTGAGAGAGCCATGCACAGGCTGAGCAGTGGTGCTGGGTGGGTGCCAGAGACTCTGGAGCCTGTGGAGCAGAGTGGCCCTGCTGATGCCCACAGGATGCAAGACCCCTGCAAGACACAGGGGGTGCAGGGAGGAAGGGGAGCCTTGTCCTTTCTCACAGTGTGGGCGCCCCATTACTTTTTGCCTTCTTCAGTTCCAGAATCTGCTGCTTCTCCTGTTCATCCAGACTTTGAGTTCTGCTTTGCAAAAAAGCCTTTTCCCAAGGGTCTGGGCCTCTCTGTCTGGAGCTCCTCTGGTCCCTAGTATCCTGTGGTGCCCAGAGGTACCAGCCCAGGTTGGACAAATCCCATTAGAATTGCACTTCTAAAAAGTACAGGAGAAATTTCAGTCACATTTTTGTTTAGAGCACAGCAGAATTTGTTCATTATTTTAAATAATTCCAAATCTTTAAAAAAAAAGACAAACCATAGGGAGTTAGAAAAGGAACATTTTAAATTTAAAATATATAAACAGGACATTACACTGATACAAGAGGCTTTGGGAAGACGTATGGCAAGGGCTTCTGGTAATGTGAAGCCTCTTATCTCCAGGACACAGTGCTGGGCCATGAAAACTTTCCCTGATCATTTGATCAGAAGCTCATGTGTGCCATACAGGGAACCCCTTTCTCCTTGCCAGTTGGCCTCATCTGTCCCCTTTTCTTCTCTCGTTTCGTTTGCCATACAACATTCTTAATTTTTAATGTTTTAAAAACAGATGTTTGTGCTAAAATAGAAACATGCTAAACAGATCAATCTAAATACAAAAGTAATTAGATGAAGCTTCATATCTGATATTCTGATTTTTGTTTTTGGTACTGGGGATTGAAATGACCTTGCGCTTGCGCCACTGAGCCAAATCCCCAGCCAAGCTTCATACTTGAAATCTGTCAGAACCAGTATTATATGCGTAGAAAAATGCCAATCCAAATGAAAGAATTAACTTCAAGTTGTAAACGAATATGGTTTATTCAGTTCTACTTCCTTCTTCAAAACCCTGCAGGTAATATATGCTTTGAACACTAAAAACGATGAGCATGAATCTGCAATTCAAGCCCTTAAAGATGCGCACGAGGAAGAAATCCAACAAATTCTTGCAGAAACAAGAGAAAAAATACTGCAGTATAAAAGCAGAATAACAGAGGAGCTAGACCTCAAGAGGAAGATCCAAGTTTTAGAAGCCTCCTTGGAAGATCACATAAAAATGAAGCAGCAGGCTTTGACAGAGTTTGAAGCCTATAAGCACAGAGTCGAGGACATGCAGCTTTGTGCAGAAGCCCAGCATGTTCAGCGCATCGTCACCATGTCCGGAGAGGTTGAGGAGATCAGAAGGAAATTTGAAGAAAGGTTACGGAGCTTCGGACAGCTCCAGGTGCAGTTCGAGAAAGACAAGCGGTTAGCACTGGAAGACCTGCGGACTGCACACCGCCGGGAGGTGCAGGAGCTGCTGAAATCGCAGCAGGATCACAGTGCCTCCTTGAGCAAAGGGCAGGAGAAGGCAGAGGAGCTGCACAGGAGGGAGGTGGAGGCCTTAAACAAAAGCCTGGAGGAGCTCAGACTTGAAAAGAGAAAGCTCATTGAGGAGTATGAAGGCAAGTTGAATAAAGCGCAGTGCTTTTATGAGCGTGAGCTTGATACTTTAAAAAGGTCACAGCTTTTTACAGCGGAAAGCCTGAAGGCTAGCAAAGAAAAGGAAGCTGATCTACGAAAAGAATTTCAGGGGCAGGAAGCAATTTTACGGAAAACCATAGGAAAATTAAAGACAGAGTTACAGATGGTCCACGATGAAGCCAGCAGTCTTCTTGACAAATGTGAGAGGCTTCAGACAGCACTCAGCATGGCTGAGAGCAATGCTCAGGTGGGTCGGGAACAGTGGATCAGGGCTTTCTTCTGCTCCCCCTCAGTGAAGCTCCTTAGCTGCAGCCAGCACAGCTGGCTTAGGGTCACTCCTTTTGGTTTCCACCACTTCACCCCCCCCCCATTTTTACCTTTTTCTGTGTGAGAAAAATCAATGAAGGGCGATTTTTATTACCTTGTGCCTATTGTCAGAATTTCAGATCCCAAGGGCCCAAAAGTTCTTACAAAAGAAAGGATTTTATTTGAATAACACATTGATATTTTCTCTAAGTGATTTGGGGGAATTAAAATATTGGACTTGGGCTTAATTATGGTTTTTCTTTTAAGCAATAGGGGTCTACCCATTAGACCTATTTAGATGTTGAGCAAAAGTTGATTGCTTTTTATGTCTAAATAAAGGCATGGTACAAATTTGAAAAAAGCTAAAAATCTGTACAGGGTTTGTTTTATTGGCATAGAAATTTTCTTACCTATGTTTAAAATATTTGTGCAGCATTAGAGGGGTAAAGGTAGAATTGTTTCCTGATGAGCTGTGTAACTTATGACAATAGTATCAAGTATCAGCAGTATTTCACAAATACAAGATTAGCTGTGATTAAGTAGGACTTCTCAGTAAGATGCAGCTAATGCTTATAGCTTAAATTATTTAGCTTACTGTCATTCTTGCATTTTAACAATGGCTATTTAATGTTTCTCAGATTCTTCAAAAACAGCTTGATGATGCCAAAGAGGGAGAAATGGCCTTATTGAGCAAGCACAAAGAAGTGGAAAGTGAGCTAGCAGCAGCCAGAGAACGTTTACAACAGCAAGCATCAGACCTTGTCCTCAAAGCTAGTATGTCTGTCCATAGTGTATGGTGCAATGGCCAGCTAAAACCAACACTTCCAAGTTCATTTAAGACAAAATTTGAATGCTTAAAATTTTTTTATAATTTAATTTTTTTTTTCCTTTTCGTCTATTTGAGACAGGGTTTCACTCTGCAATTCAGGCTGGCCTTGAACTCACTATGTAGCCTAGGTTGGCCTCAACCTTGAAGTAATCTTCCAGCCTCAGTTTTTTCCTGAGTGCTGAAATACAAAGGTGTGCCATCATGCTCAACCTAATGCTAAATTTCTTCTACTTTTTAAAATTGTTTGGATTATAGACATTCTTGGTGGTACAAACCTGTGATTCTAGCACTTGGGAGGCTGAGGCAGGAGGATCAGGAATTCCAGGCCAGCCTCAGTTACAGCAAGTTCTACTCACATTTCCCCAAAAAGCATTGGGTCATAAAAATGTAAAGAAGTAATATCTTATTAATTAATCAAAAGAAGCAAATGGTGATTTACGTTTTTATTTTTAGGAATGCATTTTCTTAAAACTTTTAAGAATTAGATAAAACACCAATAAATGAGTAAAAGAAAAGTAAACCAGTGTTCCTGAGAGGTGTCATCCTTTAAAAACATGTATTTTTGGGCTGGGGATTTAGCTCAGCAGTATAAGCACCTGCCTGGCAAGCACGAGGATGTGAGTTTGATCTCCGGTACCAAAAAGAAAAAAACCCCAAAACCCATGTGTTTTGTAGTAGTTAAGTTGGTTGAACAGTGTGTGACGGCAGTGGGCTTGTCACGAAGACTCCTTCTGCACCCTTGAGCTGAGCTTCACTCGGAGGCAGCTGACGTGCTCTTGAGAGTCCTCACTAGAGGAGGGGCTGCCCCACACAGGGTAGGATCTGGGCTTCACTCCCACCAAGGCCCTGGAGTGCCCCGCTCCTGTTGGAGCCTTCCCTGGTTTTGATTGGCTCTCCCTTCCCATAGAGCGGTGACCTTCAGCTCCCAGTGGCGCTGCCTGGAGGGTGTGTGCACTCCACACCAGGGTTTCTGACCTGGGGCTCTGGGGTGGTTGTGTTTCTAACCAGAGTTCTCAGGGCTCTGCTAGCTGCTGCCTTGAGGGCTGCCTCCTGGGAGACCGTTGGCCCACTTACTGTTTACCTCCGCTTCCCTACAGGCTCTCATTTCCTGTTTCCCCACCCGTCTCTGCTGCCATTTACTTGATTTACTCATAGGCTTGCTGTCCTAACCTGGGACCATTCTCTTGTCTAAAACAAATTAGGTTTGCCCAAACTCTTGTCTCCCACCTTTGTTCCCTGCATACAGAAATTCTCTGTTAGGATTTTAAAAAAGATTGAGAAGAAATCAATTACTCCTTTTTGCTAGGTGGTATCTGCCAGCACCTTACCTTAGTGTCAGTCTCTTACCTTGTTCTGCGCCCAGTGGACTTCACAGACCATGAGGAGTTGCTCCTTCTTCAGCTTGTATCACTGCTAGTCTTAAAAATAAAAAGCGTCCTGGTCTAGGTATAGGCAATGTAAACATTGGCAATGTAAATATTGACTTCTTACCTTAAATTATTATAGTTGGATAAGAAGGAATCTCATGAAAATATTTTCATTTTATACAATAAGAAAACAAAAAAGAAATGCATACAGAGACCCCTTATTGTATCTATGTGTAAAACACAATTGTGTTACTAAAGATAAATTGTTTGATACCCTGGCACAACTGATTCTGCTATTAAAGGAATTTTCCTTGCTGGAGCTAGGTCATATTGGCATGCTTCAAGCAACTCAAATGACCCAGGAAGTTACAATTAAAGATTTGGAATCAGAAAAATCAAGGGCCCATGAACGATTATCTCAGCTTGAAGAGGAAAGAGCTTTCTTGCAAAGCAGAACTCAAAGTCTGAATGAAGAACAGAAGCAGCAGATTCTGGAACTGGAGAAGGTAAAAAGCAGTGGGGCACCCACCCTAAGAGAAAGGGAAGGGAGACTCACTTCCCTCACTTCTGGACGTGAGTGCTGGATGCCTTCACTGCACTTGACAGGAACAGCACCTTCTCATGCAGTGTAAGGTGTGAATCTAGCTGGTCGCACATTGTGGATATGCTCAGAATCTGTGGGGAATGTTCAGCATGTTTCAGGCCATAAACTGCATAAATTCTTAGTTCAGTGGAATTGTTTCTCTAGTTAATGAAGAGTATTAGTTATTCGAGTTAATGAAGAGTATTAGTATGTACACACGTAGGACATTTTTATAAAACTAAGGACAGGCTTTAAGGTTTGAGTAGTCATATACCAGCATGGTGAATTTCTAGATTAAACAAGACGTTATTTACAGAGCCTCCACTGACTATTCTAGCTTTTCAGTGTCCACCAAACAGGCAGGAGGAGTTTTGGTCATCCCCTCCTTTCTCAACCCCGTGACAGCTAAGCACATTGAAGAATATCCGCTCTGTTTGCTCTTGGCTCCTTCTTATCCGGCCTTAATGTGGCGAGGCCTTCTCTTTCCCACAGTGCTGGGAATCTACTTTGGCCTCACTCCTGGAATATGCCGGGTGCTGGCCTATGGCCTTCCCTTCCTGTGGCACCCACGCCCGTGGGGTTGTGGTGTCCCACTTTTCTTGGTGCCCCACATTCTCTCCTGTGTCCCTCCCTACTTCCTGATCTCCAAGTCTTGTTCGAACCTTTCCTTCTGCAGTTCCCTTACTACTGGTGTTCGCAGCGTTTTGGTCTGATAGTCTGTTGTTGTCCACTCCAGTGCCGTCAGGGAGCCTGCTGTGGTGCTTCTTCCTGTGTCTGTAAGGTGGGTCAGAGCTAGCTTTCCGCTGGACATAGAGACTTCAGTGTGTGCAGAATGTTCTCCCTCTGTCACTTCTCATTGCAGCCGATACCAGAGTGACTGTTGGCTGCTGTTCTGTCAGTTCCCTTCCCTGCTCCTTTGCATACTCTTATTCTGTTCTGCCTTTTTACCCACTGGGAACACAGGTTAGCACCCTAACTCTTCAGTCACTGACCTGACACATCGTCTTTTAAAACTATGTTATTTACTTCAATTACAGTGATTTCTCGTTCCTTTCAGAAAAAGTTCAAAGTCCTCAGTCCTTTCTCCTTGCTTGGGCAGCCCTGCTTGCATTGAGCACCACCTCCCGCCCACCCCCCCACTCTGGGCCTTGGGGCTGCGGGAACCTCCATGTCCCTAAACCTAGCCACCTAGCTGGTTTGCTCTGCCCCGCTCTGTCCATCCCAAAGCTGGTTCCGACAGCAGGCCTCAGTTGGACATGTCTCATCTTTGGTTGCCCTGTGGGCTTTCTGTGAAAATTAAATGGGAGAACGGGTGCAGCAGCCCAGTATTTTCCCAGTCACCGCCTCTCCCTGCCCGCACACGCCTTTCCCACCCATCTGTTAGCTCCTTCCGCTGCTGTCTTGGACACATAGTGGACACCTCTTTCTTGGAACTTGAAAGACTGTGTTGCCACTACCTATTGGGTTCTTTCATCACCAGTCTGTGGCACATAGTTGGCACGCAGAGTTGTGTTGGGCAGTATCATCTGAATGATTAACAGTAAGCTATTTTGTGTACTGTTCTGACATCCAGGAAGTCTTTCTTCTTTAAGCTTACAGATGCACCAACTTGCATTTGGTTCTGACTTCTCCATTTCTAGATTTAAAATATTTTATTTCAGTTCAGCCTTGTTTCTTTTGAGAAGATCAGTGATATGTTTTCATGTTTCAAAGTCCAGGTCCTGTAGCGCTCAATTCCGTCATGCTCCTATATTTACAGGGTGTTCAAATACTAGTAGTAATCTTGAGGAAAACAGGTGCTAATAATTGACTTTTATTTATTTTAATTTAAGAAAGTAAATGATGCAAAGAGAACTCAGCAAGAATATTATGAAATGGAGCTTAAAAACATGCAAAACAAGTTGGAAGGGGAGGTGACTCGATTAAATGAAGCCCATTCGAAGACTCTGGAAGAACTGGCCTGGAAGCACCATGTGGCAATTGAAGCTGTCCATAGCAATGCAGCTCGAGACAGGAATACCCTGCAAGTGGTGAGTAAGCCTGGACTCCCGGTTGCGCTGCACTGGTGCGCTGTCAGCAGGCACAAGTGTGGTCTGTCCTGTGGAGACAGGGTTTGCTTCAGTTGGTAGCTCCTGTCTCGAACATGGTGGAAGTCATAGAGTCTCTGTTGTGGGGCATGGTGTAGTGAACCCTGCGGAGGCCACTGTACTCAGTGCAGCCATGAGTCAGTCTAGCAGGTGAACTGCTCAGGAAGCTTCGACCAGGAAAAAGTCCCACCCTCGTGTAGAAAGTTTTTGTCCCTGGAGAGGCTTTGAGCATGTGCTGGAGTCAGCTTGCTGACGGACAGCACCCATCACGGACAGTGCTGTGGAGCAGCCTTGGAGCTCCTGACAGCAGCCGAGATCCACCTTAGTCAGATCCCATGTGCAAGAGGAAGTGTCGGGCCTTTATGTAGTTCCTGGCGGTTCGTACCCCGGAGCCAACACTGCCCAAATGGTCCACCCATGTGCTTTTTCTACACTTAGGATGGGACCACTGATTTGATCACAAGGCCTATGCTACTGAAGGCAAACTGTGCTCAGCCATATGCAGCATTAAAGTGGGCCGCACCCTGAGCTTGAGGCTCAGCTCTGTTAGTGCCTGAGGCAGGCGAGCGCTGTGAGCAGGCGTCAGTGATGCTGCTGCAATGTGTTTCTGTTCACTCGCTGTATGGTTGCATATTTTTCACCATAGCTTGAGGTCTCTCACCTGACAGTGCACCCATAAGAAGGTGTTACAGCATGCTGGAGCCTGCAGCCCTGAAAAGAGGGCAGGCAGCCCTTGGGCTGCAGGAGGGGCCCCCTCTTCTTGAGGAGAGCGGCTTGCTGTGCCTAAAACTACTGTGCAAACAACGGGCAACGTACATCCTGGAGGTCTGATATTTGGGAGTCTGCCAGAAAGAGGGGCCTTCGGGATCTAGGCACCTGTCTCACGTGCTTTCTGGAAGAGAGTGTCTCCCCCAGTTGACACCCTGCTGCAGGAATGAGCATGTCCTATGTACAGGGGCTTTGGAAGCCAATGCTGATCTTTGCAGCATGTGTGTACACCGGGCCCTCTTAGCCACTCCTAGTGCATCCTGAGACCTGGCTTTGTCATGGGACCACCCAGCACAGGACCCCACTTACTCCTCTGCTCACTTTCTATGGAAACACAGAACTGCACATGACATGCTGTGCATTGGTTCCTCTGCCAATGCACTGTACTCCACTGCTGCTCTCCGTCTCTCCCTAGTACACAAATTGCTACCAGACCGAGCAGCTCCTTGCTCTGAAGGCCTTCCCAGGGAGCTAGACTTCCCACTGCCCTGTTCCTGGGTTCCCTGCTATCTAGCAGTGTCTGATCCTAAAGAATGTTCTTCAGTTACTTGATAGTAAGGGCCAATGTGATGTCTTACTGTCTTTTCATCCCAATTGTTATGCAGGATGCTTGACAGACAGTACGTGCTCTTTAGTAAACATTTTTACTGGTTATGCTGTTCAGTTGCCTTAATTTTTATTTGGAATTTTCTGCTACATTTTGATATTAGATATCTGAATTCCAGAAGTATTACTGGATTTTAGTGTTTATGTAAATACAGAATTCTGAGTTCAGAAAAATTAGAATGTTTTCTTTATCTCACCAAATTATTCATATCACACTTTTCTCTACAGTGGTACCTTTACTTATGAACTTAATTTGTTTTGTGATTTTGGAGAAGACTGTTTCATTTGTGTGTGTGTGGAGAAGATGGATGTGGTCATGTTTGTTACTCTATGCAGTTGTGAACAGAAGCAAAATTTTGCAGAACTCTTATTAGTGAATCAGATTTTTTACAGATGGAAGCATTCAATGAACCAAGATAGTTCTGTACTATACAGTACATTGTAGCATGATCTGGACCAGCCACTTACCGTTTAAACACAGTTATTCAACACATGCATTCTGTAAGTGATTCAGAATGTAGGTGTCCAAGCCAGTAGGATTCAGTGGCGTTGCTATTAACTCAGGTATTATTGAGGGTAAGGACAAGATACAAAATCGAATGCTTTTGCTCCCAGAGTCTTTGAGTTGTATAATATCTGCAATCCTGTTAACTTTTTAAATTCTTTTTTTCTGAGGAATTGGAGGAACAGTATAAAAAGGAGAAACTGGCTCTGGAAGAGGATAAGAATCGGCTTCAGCGGGAGCTGGAAGACCTAAAGGAAGAGCTGGCAGCCAAGCTGAGCACGGCTGCTCAAGAGGCAAGAGCTCTTTGGGCCTCTCACCTGTGTGACATGTGACACGTGATATGTCACGGTGCAGGGGCTTCTCCTGTGATGTTGCAGGGTTGGCGAGCCTCAGTGCAGAGTACCAGTCCCAGCAAACACTTGGGTTGATGTGACATTTTTCATAACATTTTGATTATATCCCAGAAGGTAAAATTTGCCACCAAAAACATTAAACCAAGGTGTTTTTGTGGGGAAAGCAAAACAGAAAATATCACCTTACTGGAAAGAAAACAGAAAAGGTATCTTTGTTCTTTCATAAAACACTAGTGTTGTCTTCTGTACACTTTCTCTCTCTCTCTCTTTTTGTTTTTAAGACCAGTTCCCACTGTGTAGTACAGGTTGGCCTTGGACTCGCTTGTATAGCCCAAGCTGGGCTCACCTCCCCAGTGCTAGGCTTGCAGGCATGTGCCACCATGGTAAGTTCTAGATAGTGCCATCTAAAATAAATTTTAAATTCCATATAAAAAAAAACTTAGTTTTGAAAAGAAAAGTTTAAGAATAGGATATAATACAAATATTGTAAGTCCAAACGTTGTGAGTGAAGCACACACAAAGGCTGTCTAATTGAGAAACAGCAAAACAGCGTTGTGGTGCGCTTTCCCTGCCCACCTTGGGCTAGGCGTGTGCTAAGTAAGCATCCCTGCTGCTCCTTTCTTCATCGCTTTGCTCCCAGCTCGTCCTTCCTGTGGCTTCTTGGGCATCTTCCTCAAACTCAGTTCTTGGCTTGAAACTTTCTGTCTTGTCAGCTTTTCCTGCCTCCAAGTCCTGTGTCTTTACCATTGCTTCTGCTACAGAACCCACAGCAAGATGCACCAGGACTACTCGGCAGGCCAAGCCTTTGCACTTAGGGTTCTGAGATAGTTTCAGAAATGCACACAGAGAGAGCCTACCACACTTCCCAGGGGGCGGAGTAAGCAGACGCTGATTCTGGCCTGGCCTGGCCTGGCCTGGGTGGGCTGTCCAGGGAGCTGGCTCTGCAGCATTTCCGATGTACCTGCTATGCACAGAACCAGAGTCCTGCATGATCGCCCATGTTTCCCATGTGGGTCCCTCATGGGAATTGGGAGTCCCTAAATGCTTTACCTAAGGGACCTTCCAACCTACAGGCTGAGTTGCACAGGGAGAGTGCTAGAAACTAGGTATGAGGGTGCCTTCAGACTGCCTTTTCAATCACCTTTCAGCACCTGCTAGTATGGAAGAGAGTGTGTCTCTTCTGTCTGGGACACCTCTCCTCTGGTTCTTTGCTGACTTGAACTTTGCAGAAGTTGTAAGCACTCTCCTTTCCCTTCCTCTCTTGGGTTTTTTTTTGATCGGTACCAGGGATCGAACTCATGACTGCCTGCTTGCAAGGCAGGCGCTTATGCCACTGAACTAAATCCCCAGCCCCTTCCCTTCCTCTCTTAAAGGAAAGGAAACTCATTACATTAACCAGTGAATCAGAATGCTTCTCTAGAGTTCTGTTTTGTGTACACTCTTTACAGGTCAGAAGAATTCTTCTAATTTCCTCACTTTAAAAAATTATGAAGAGATTTTGAGTTTTTTGCATCTACTGAGATGATAACTTTTTTCCTTTAATTTTTAAATGTGGTACTTTATGTTAATCAGTCTTCTGGTATTGGATCAACCTTGAATTTCTAGATTAGGTCTTAGTTATGTGTATTATCTTTTTCATATAATGTTAGATTCAGTTTGCTAATATGTAGTTCATCATTCTTTAGCCTGGGTTTGAGTGAGCTTGTCTCATACAATTAAGCAGGACACACACTTTCTTCTGTTCACCAAGAGACTTGTGTGTGATTAAAACTTTTTTTTTCAACACTACTCTGGTTAGAAATTGTGATTCATAAGCCAGGTGTGGTGGCACAAGCCTGTAATCCTGGCCCTCGGGAGCCTAAATGAGGCAGGAGAATTGTGGAGGTTCCTGCTCAACTCTGCTCACTAGGACAGGGATTTAGCCTGGGAAATGGATAAATTACCAGGGTGTAAATATTTTTGTTCATGTTTTAAAAAGTATTTTCTTTCCATCTAGTTCTTCCTCTTAAGTGAAATGACTGGACCAGATGGTATAATGGATTTTGAAGCTCTTACTGCTTATTACTAGATTTGTCTTCAGAAAAATTGGAACTAGGTTCCAGTGACATGTTTGCATACTTGCTTATGAAGCATCTGTTGACTGCATGGCACCTTCCAGGTGGAGGAACACTGTTAAGATGTCAAGAAACCCATAGTCTTCAGCGGCTGTTAGGATTCTATGCTGTCACTGTAGAGTCCAGAGGAAGGATCATAGGGTTTGTAAAAGCTGTGAAGAATATGGTATGATGTGTCATGAAATGATACAGTGTGATATAGGAGAATTCAGAAATGTGATACGGCAGATGGTCCTTGAAAGATGGGTATCAATTTACTTGCTGTAGATGTGACAGAAGTTAATATGGGTTTGGGGACTGGCATAAATGCAGTCATATTAAACAATTTCCATGTCTTGATGAGCAGTGGAAAGCTCTGTGTCAGTACACTGGGATTTCGGTCCTCAGCACAATGGCTAGTTTAGGATGTGGAGTAGTGTCCTTATCCTCTCCCTGCTCAGTACCAGCAGTGTACATCCCTCATCATCTCCAGTGTACATCCCTTATCATCTCATACTCTCTGAGGACAGCTGGCCTTGACTGAAAATTGCTACAACATGGCCATAGCATGCACTTGGGGCTTGACAGGACGTGTAGTAGGAAAGATGTGGAAGTCAGTGAGGGGCTCTTGTGCCATAACAGAGCTTTGGGCTTGATCTCGATGCCACCATCACACGATCTCCTTAGAAAAAGACTGTTGCACTAGGAGGACCGTTAGCGTTAGACAGATGACATAAGACGCTAGCACGTTAGTCCAGGCAAGAAATTGTTTGCGGGCTGGGGATTTAGCTCAGCAGCATAAGCGCCCGCCTTGCAAGCGGGCAGTCATGAGTTCGATCCCTGGTACCAATAAAAAGGAAAAAGACAAAAAAAAGAAAGAAATTATTTGCATTCTGATTTGGAGGTAAAACTGGGAATGAGGAAGATTAAAAAAATACAATATATAAGGACTATGTGGTAAATGATAGAAAATAACTGTGGTATCTAGCTCAGGCATTTGGTCACGTAAGGAGACTACTGTTGAACAGGAGAAAAATACTTTGGAATATTAAGATCTAGAGTCGTTTGAATATGTAGATTCCTCAGACATCCAGGCTACAGATAGGAGTGTGTGAGCTCCAGAGAGGGCACTTGGGCACTTGGCTGTGCAGGCAGGAGTTCTCTGAGGACCTTTCTAGTTTCAGTAGAGAGGGCAGAAGCGAGGTTCAGTGGATTTCATCTGAATATCAGTGGATGGTGCTGCCCGTCGAAGGCAGTGTATAAATAAAACGAGGAGAGGACAGGGAATTTAGATCCCATGTCCAGCCTCAGTGTCCAAAAACTACAAAAGATTAAAATGCAATAAGAAGTCACCTGTATGGATACAAACAGAATATGAAAATGCAAGTGGTATGCCTTGGGACAAAGAAAGCATTTGGAAAATGACACTAAAATCTTGATTAAAAACAATGTTTGTATAGTTGCAGCTAAAAACTTATACAGATAAGAATATACTGTAAGCAAAATTAAACCAAGGAAACGGGAGGGAGGAAGTGCTTGATGAATTTGATGACTAACAAAGAATTCATGTCTTTAATGCTGGAAGAGTGTTTTCAGAACTGTAGGAAAAAGACAAACACTCCAGTTTATTTGTGTGGGCTAGAGAAGAATATGAAAACAAGGTCAGCCTCTCTATAACTTAAGAATTGGAAATCACTGAGCTGCCATCCATTACCATAGAGTTAACAGAGGGAGACACTGAGTGAGACCCCACAGCTGATGCAGGTAGAGGAGGAGGAATCGGGAGCTGCTGCTGGGAGCCAGCATTCCTAGAAAGGGGATCAGCAGCGCACCCCAGTCTGTGATTGTGTGTTTTTAACCAGAGCAGATGTGAGGATCACTGAGAACATCTCAGCACCTAGAGTGCAGACGTTAAGAGCAACTTAAACTTCCACAGAGCTCTGTCTGCCTAGAAGAAAAGGAATCTCTTTCTCACCTGCCAAGAAGGGTTGTGTGCTTCTTTGGGGATTTCTGGGGTGCGCCATGCCCAGGGTGGGCCCTTCTGCCAGCAGCACTGGCAGGGCCTGTTGGCTTAAGGCTACCCTGCTGCAACACAGGGTCAACAGGAGTTGGCATCGGAGCCCTTAGGGAGGATAAAGGAGGTGGTAGAGAGAGGTTTTATATTGAGCTTTTTTCTGTAATTGACTCGTCATTTGTTCACTAAGTACCGCGTGGCTGTTAGGTGCTGAAGGCCTGTGCTGGCACAGCTGTTGTGAAGAGAGCCCAGGAGCGAGTGCTGTGAAACTACGTAGTTTGCCCTTTATCCTCGGCTCTCTTTCAGTTCTCTCACTACCACCTTATACACCTAGTGAGTCGGTAAAGGCAGAGTTTGAGTCTGGGTGGGGATTTCTGGGCTGGGTTTTTAGCTAGTACAGCCCCCAGGAGGGAAGGCTGAAGAGCTGCGATGGGGCTGAGCCTTGGAAGGGTTGATTGTTAGCTGAGCAGGAGGTGGGGTGGGAAGCACCCTGTGCACCTCTGGGGCACCTGCCTGAGGGTTGGGCTCCCCTCACGTCCATGTGTAAGTCACTAGGATACACTTTGGTCTTGCAAGGATGGACAGAGGAGGACAGACCTGGGTAGAGAGTAATACTCCTCTGGGGACGGGGTTCTACTTAAGTGCCATTAAGTAACAGTAATCTGAGTATTGGTTTCTACTGCAAATAACAGGAATTCCAGCTCGAACTGGCTGACGCGTGTGACTGAGATGTCCATTAGGTTCAGCACTGACTTGGTGATGCCAGAAGCATGTTTCTCTTTTCTCCTGCAGTTGAATTTTCTCTGTCTTCATGCATTCCTTTAGATACATGTGCAACTAGAAAAAGATCTTTTTTAGGAGCTCCTCCTGCTTTTTAAAGTTTTTGGTGGTACTGTGGATTGAACGTGTGGCCTTTGCACTAAGCTACATCTCCACCCCTTTTTATTTTGACGTTGGTGTCACTAAGTCACTCAGTGAAACCCATTCAGGCTAGGCCCAAACTTTCGATCCTCCTGCCTCAGTCTCCCAGGTTGCTAGGATCAGGCATGACCTACTTGCTCATAGGAACTTCTTTGAAGTCCTAAGAGCTCTGTGAGGAGAAAAGTTGAGCCCACATGTCTGCTTCTAAACCATGCTAGTGGCCAGCAGACCTGAGATTTTGTTGACTTACACGTTTATGGACTCCTTCACCTTGCTGAGACCACAAGGAAGGGGAGCTGGCTCCCCAAATGCCAAAAGGAAGTTTTGATATGGGGACAATGGAATTTTTCCACACATACTGTTTTTATTATATTACAAAAAACAAACTTTAATGTTATGTTTGTCACTTGCTTTTTTTTATTGTATTGTGCAGAAATTGAAAGATTTTGCCCACTTAAATATTCATCTGTCTCTGATTGGGTTCTTAGTTTCTTTAACATGCCCTCTTTAATTCTTTATGTGGCAACTAGAATACTGTTTTTTACACATTACATACAACTCATCTGAAAAATTTCTGCATTATAGAAGAATTTTTTCTAGTTTGTTAAATATGGTTATTCTTATTTATTGGTACCTGATATCTTTTCTAATTAAATAATTTATCCTGCATATCGAATAACTGTAGTCTAATAACCTCTACGGATAGTAACAAACCCTGGGCTTGAAATAAGATTCAGTGCTCTTTCCGCTCTGCTGCAGCTGCCGTCCACACAAGCATTCATTCACTGCTGTTGATTCAAGTTCATAGCAAGACAGATCAGTACAAATAGCAGGGAAAATGTGAGCAAGAAGATAGATAAAGGTGGACATTAGAGTGGGGACAGATAGAACTTTAAAATATTAGAGTGAATGCTGTGTACAAAAATGCCAGTAATTTTCAGGACCTCATGCAGGTGCTGCATCACTGAGCTATATTCCCAGCTCACCAGTAATTTTTAAATTAGGAAAACAGATGTCTTTCTGTAAGATTTTTAAGTATTAAAACGACTCAATGTAATGGAACAGCCCAACCAAATCAGTTATAACCCCATAGGAAAATAATCTGACATGCATTTTAGAGAGGTACTAGGCCAGAGGATTTAATGAATAGCATTTACAAAACTGTCAAGAAACAAGTGATTCTCTTTCAATGTAAAAGAAAGCACAGAAAAATGGAAGCTTTTCAAATCATTTTATGATCTTAGCATCCATTAAAGACATTGAAAGAATACACAACCAACCCCCGTAATTTTTCAGCCCACACATATACACCATACATGTATGAAGAATTTTCATGGTTTTCTTTGTGATATCTGTATTTAAAGGAGAAATACCAGGTATTAAGTTGCTAATCTTAATTTTGTAGAATTTTCACAAGCTTGGTGTTTTTAAAAAATGAAATACTTAATAGTATTTTCCTGGATAATTTAAAGTATCACATTGATTGATTTCAGTTCTTACAATTAGAAGGTAGGGACAAACCTAATCAATACATTGTTCTTTTGCTCCAGCTCTTTAAAGGCTTTCGGAGACAGATTTTATTTGGAAACACAGAAATCACAGCCTATCCTACAAGTTACATTTACAGCTTGTCCGTATGTATCAGTGTATATTTATCACTTTTGTAAATAGAAGAACTGGACTGAAGTGAGATGTAAATTATGCAGTTTAAAGAATGGTTTAAAATAGTAGTCAGAAGTTTTGTCAATCTTTATTGTGCTTCAACTGCTTTTTACCGAGCTCTTTTATGACAGAACCAGGAATTCTCTTTAAGCCAACAGCTTGAGAGAGGGATCCTTTTCATGCTGCCCTAAAGAAAGGAAACCGTACATATGGTGACCTTTTCCCAAAACAACAGAGGATGAAGGTTATCAAGACTATTTGGGTGCAGCTTCCAAAATCACCAAGAAAGAATCTGTTCAGTGAAAGTGGAGCTAACAAGCGCGCTGAAGCGGGTGGTGGCGGCCTGAGCCTCGAGGGCTGTTACGTGCTCTGTTCCCTTGCAGGTCGCCCGCCTCCAGGACCTGGTTCGAAAGCGGGAGCAGGGTCTGGGCTCGGCTGAGGGCCTCATCTCCAGTCTCCAGGGCTCCCAGGACAGGCTGCAGAGTGAGCTGGACACCACCAAAAGCAGGCTCAGGGAGACCAGGGAGGCGCTGCTGAGTGTGGAGGTGACTGCTGCTTGTGCTGTAAGCTGACCCCAGCCTGAGAAGCATAGTGACGTGGCCCCTTTGCTGAGTGCTTCTCCAAAGCTTTTGTACAGTAGTGTGCTCATTTCCAGGGCCACCCTAGCGAGGTGTATACAAACGGGACCGCTGTAAACAGCAAGTATGTTCTCCCCATTCTGGAGCTAGAAGCCTAAAACGAGGCCTGGGCAGAACTGCGCCCCCCTCAATCCCTGCGGGACCCCTCTCCTCCCTTCTCCTGCGTCATGTAGCTGCAGCATTCCTCCAGGCTCTGCCCGAATTTCAGCCCCTGCTTTTCTTCACAATGGCCCCAGGTAAGGAGAGGAGGGCTCAGCCTGCTCCAGTGTGACCTCAGTTTACCTGAGTGCATCTGCACTGATCCTATTCGCAAATAACGTCACGTTCTGTAGTGTGGGGCAGAGTGAAGACATCAATCATCCAGGGATAGCTGGTGTGTGCAGCCTGACCCCTTCAGCACTGAAGAACGGCACCTTCCCAGAGGGCCGCGTGCCTGTGATCTACTGACCCAGGCAGGCCGAGCTTCCTGATACACCCCGTGCCACTGAAGCACTGCGGGTCTGGAAGCACGTGCATGGGCCTCAGGGTTCCTGCAGTAGGGCTGTGTTAGGCTGCGTTGGGCTGCGTTGGGCTGCACAGGCTCTGCTGCACCCCTTCAGAGGCAGCGGCACATGCCTCGGTTTCGCAGATGTTGCTATTTTGCATCTGTGCAGGTGCAGGTAGCACGCTTCACCACTATCATGACTGAGCGAGCAGGACAGTGGTTAGCAAAGTGGCTGGCACTCAGTATGTGTTGTCTTTATTAATATTTTGTATCTCATGACTGGTAACATTTCAAAAGCAAGTAAACCAGGGTAGTGTAGTGCATATACCTTGTCTACTGTGCCTGTGTAAGTCTAGTCATATTTTATCTAAAGTGTCATTTGTATATATATTGTATTATAGTTAATTTTATTATTGAAATCTGTGACAAAATGAGCCCGAGTTCATTTTCATTAAATCTTTTCCTTTTTTACCCTTTTGTGGTGGCTAAATAGCTTGCCAGTGTTAATCTATGGTAAAGACCAGGTTGGAACTTAGAGCTGCCGTAATACATAGTTTGGTATATTTAACATATGTGACACCCAGCAGTTCTGGTAACCTCTGTGGTGTGGTCTAACCTATATGAAGAGAAGTTTTTTCCTATTGTCAAAAATTAAAGGAGAAAATATTTCAAGGAAGTAAAAATACATTTGCAGTGGAACAGCTCATTTTTTTTGTCAGTGCTAGGAATGAAACCTTGGACCTCACCTTTCTGAGCCCTGCTTGTCCCCGTTGAGAGAGACCATGCACGTGGGCTGGGTGTAGCTCTGTCTTGGTGGGTGCCTTGGAGTTCTGAATCTCTGGCCTCCTGAGCACCCTGCTCCTGACCCAGGCTGCTTCGTGCTGGCCGCCTTTCCTCTCTATTTTGGTCTTGGCACTGTGAACCATGCTTGTGGATTCAGTTTCAGTTCTTTAAAGTCCTTTATCATATCTACATTGTTTGTGAAATAATAGAAAATAATAAAAATGATAAGGAAAACCCAGGACTTTATTTTCTCTGGACAATTTCACTTCATAAAATTAGAGGCTCTACCTCGTGCTTTCCCGCAGCTTTGCCTGAATTCCTTAAAAGCAAGTGGGTTTTTTAACTTTTCCACCAGCCCTCCCCCACGCAGTACTGTGTAATAAGGTTCTTTGCACTGAGTAGAAGACATCATTTTTTTTCTTGTTGCATTTACCGCTAACGGTGGTAGGAAAAAGAGTCCCTAGAGGCAGAGCACTTACAAGAACAAGGTGGTGACTCAGTGTTTGGACTTGCCTTTCATAGGTTAGCAGTGCTCAGCGGCAGTTCGGACCTTTGTCTGGGTGTCCCCTGAGAAGGTGCTGTCCCATGGCATTAGTGAGGGCGTGGTCCGAGGCACTGTGGTGACAGGAGGGTGGGTCCTGAGCCATTTGTCCACTGCCTGCTGCCCTCAGCTGTGGCCTTTTTGGCAGGGGCCCTGGTTGCCACTGTCTTCCAGACAAGTCACCTCTAGCCCCATGGTCCAGGAGCCACCTGATAGGTGCTGGTGTCGGGGGCTTCACCATGGTGCTGAGCATGGACTGTGCCAGGCTCAGCAGTAGTCAGTGCCCTCTGTCCACGTCACTCTTCCCACTGTGATGGCAGGCTGTAGGTGTGATGCATGAGCTTCAAACAGGTCTCATAGTTTTGAATATGAATATGAACAAAGCTAAATAACGTATTTACGTGATGTGCATAAATGTGGAGGTAACTCAGTAATCAATCTGTTAAGTACCCATGATAAGATAGGTTTAATTTTGATGATTAATATTGACTTCACTTTAAAAAATCATATTATTATAAGCCTTAATTAAATGTACAAGTGGTGATCAAAGTATGCAGTAAACAAATTTACTACATTAGAAGATGCCATCAGTCCCCTCCAGATACCTGTCTCACTATGAAAACAGTTACCTTTTTTCTTGCCATTTTCTGAAGCAGTTCCAGAAGTCGTTTTTTCTTTTCTTTCTGGGGCGCAATCAACTGTTTTTGAATACTGCTCCTGAATGCCATAGAACAGAAAGCTAAGCTCATAAAACATCACAATGCATTCTTATCCACCCTGTCACCTGGACTGTGTGACTCCTGGCTCTTCCCCAGAGTGTAAATGATTGTGTGAATAAATATTTGGAATCAATTCAGGACCATCAGGGCAGCCAAGACAATATAGCAACAGACACCCTGTCTTGACCTGCATAGGGAGCGGGGTCCTGCAAGAGGGCAACGGGAGATTAAGAGAAACAAGACACATAAAAGAAAAGCTGGGACCGGCTGGGACTTGATCTCCCTGATGGAGAGGCAGTGACAACCCAGCACAGCCTGTGTCTTTGTTTATACATAGTAAAGAAGGGGGAAGCACACGCCAGGGCCTAAAGTGCAAGGTTTCAGGGTTTTGCTGAGAACACGGAAAGCGGAACATTTTCAGAGCTACCTGTGCTGTAGTTAACAGGGAGGAGCACAAAGGCCAGACACGTGCTGGGCTGGCCCTGCTCTAGTCCCAGCAGCTTGTTCGCACGGCTGTCCTCTGGCGCTCCATGTTCCCAGGGCCAGATTTGCTCTCACTCTGATGTGGGCTAGATCACCCGGTCTCCAGCTCAGCTGCTCCTTTCAACGCTCATGCAAGAAGACTCCAGAGTTGCTTCAGAAAGTGGCAAGAATAATGACTTCAGTGTGTTCTAAGCAAGGGGGAATATTTTGAGGACTAATGGCAATGTTTCTTTTACTGTTTCTATTTGCAAATTTAAACAGTCACTGTCTTTTTTTTTTTTAATCATATCTCATAGTTTAGACAAGGGCATTTAAAATACAAAATGTGTTCTGTGCATTTATCATTTGCAAATCTTGAGCAGTTATAGGTAGTGAAGCAGTTGCTGTCGTGTAAGATTTTATAATACAGGCCCTCCATTGCCTGAAACAAGCAGCAGTATCTTTGCTTTCAAACCCTAGTCCTGACAGAAAGGTGTTTGTTCTTTAGGCTGAGCTGGAACGTGAGAGGCACCAGCATGAACAAACACTGGCTGCCATGAAGGAAGAGGAGAAGCTCAGAGTGGACAGGATGGCCCATGACTTAGAGATGAAGTGGACTGAGAATCTTAGGTATACCTTTTGCCCATGAAGTGACCTTGCCAATATGGATGTGCAGGGGTTTCCTGCTGGGTGGCCCATGTTAGCAGTATTTTTTCCCATAATTTGATGCAGAGATCTTAGAATTTTTTTCTGGTTCAATTCACATTTGCTTTTTTCTGATTTGTTTGCATTGAATACAAAATAGAGAACTATCCTGAAGTTGGAAAACTTACTCTTGTACCTTTTTTTTCAACCATTGTTGAATTGATAAATGAGTGAATTTGGTTAAGCAACCAGTTTACTTTGTAATCCTTAACTGTCAAATAATCTACTCTTATCCGAGTTACAAACTTTTGAGGAGAATTAATAAGGCATTTGGAAACCCTTTGCATGAATCTCACCAGTTACCTAAGGGATAATTCTTTTCCCTAGTGAATGCCTGTGTTTCCTTTAGACAAGAGTGCTCTAAACTCCGCGAAGAGTTACGGCTCCAGCACGAAGAAGACAAGAAGTCAGCAATGTGTCAGCTGCTGCAGTTAAAAGAGCGAGAGAAAAGTGCTGCCAGGGATTCGTGGCAGAAAAAAGTGGAAGACCTCCTAAACCAGGTACTTCACAGTCCTCAGCATGCCTTTCTGAGGTGTTATTTGTAACACACTGTGTGCTGCTGCTCTGTATTTTGTTATTTTTAATAGAGTAATCTTAAAATTTTTAAAAATGTGTAAAATCAAGGAGCCATTCACAAACATATAAAATGTTGTACTAAATACTTACATATGTAGTCCTAAATACTGTCATAAATTTGTGATTTGTTAATTAATATTTGAATGGAAACATTAGCAATCTTGCATGGGAAGCTTGGTGACTTTTTGAAAATGCGTCATCTTTTTTCTCCAATCCTGTGGTGTGATTTGGGTGACAAGATAATGTTTACTCAGTGTGTCCAGGTTACCTGAAGCTGTGCACCAACAGTGTCCAGCAATGTGGTGCCGCTTGGAGAGAGTGTCCTGTCCGCAGATCGCTCTCTTCTTCCCAGAATGTCTAAAACCACAGTTAGAACAGTGTGTGCACATCATCACTTCTTTCCACAGCCTCCAAGTTTATGAATTCTTAGTGTCTTCCTGCTACACCAGTAATTAAATAGGATTAACTCGTGAGTCATCAACTGATAAGCAAGTACGGGATTGGTCAGAAAGCAGCTTGCCAGTTGGTGCTAGAAACCTGCTCGGACCTTTCTCATGGTAGTCATGATGAAGTTCTAAGTAGCAACACAGGCGTTTATAAGATAGATGCACATGTGCAGTGTCTTTCAGGGTGCTTGGGCCCTGACAATTTGAGTCTGCTGTTTCACCGTAATTTACAGCACTTTGTGTGTGTGTGTGTGTGTCTCCTGTGACTGAACAGGAGACTGTTTTGTGTCTTAGTGCACCGGTATTTCATCCTGCTTAGAGCCAAGAATTGAAGCTGCTTGTCTTCCTGTGATCTTAAGTTCTAGAGAATTAAACCTAAGTGTACTCACCCTCATGGCCTGCCCATCTAAAATTGACATAGGAAAGTATAAAATGTTTAGGTTCCTTGAATCAGATGTTCCTGTTTTGTGGAATTTGTCAAAAGCTGTTATTGTCAGCCTGTGCTTCAACTTAAGAATCAGTTCCATGTATTTTAGTTTTCTTTTATTATTCCATTGCATCCTCCTTTTGTGCATGGTGGTTACACTTTTAGTCCAAGGTTGGGTATCTTCCTGGGATGGACATGTGACTTCTTAAATCAAAAAAACTACGTACTTACTCTTCAATTCTGTCTAAATAAAAATGCCCATGTGGTGTTTCCTATAATCATATTTTCTATTTTTGTTCTTAAAATGATATCACATATTCTCCTTCTAAAGGCAGCTTTCTTTTTGGAAACAGTGTGATAATTTATTTATTGAGTCTCACCTAGAGCACTGGACTCAGAAGTGAGGGAACACAGGGCACTCAGCATGCAGCTGTGGGATTTGAGGTTGGGCTTTGATGCTCCACTCTGTGAAGCTCCAGAGTTACCAGGCAGGTTAGGGACACAGCTTTTACACTTCACAAGTTTGCTGTCTAGTAGGGAGATTTGTGTACAACACTCTTCCATAGGAGTCAATGCACCCCGTGACTCAGAGTGGCCCAGACAGCCGGCCCTGAAGGAACAGTGTGGGAAGTGTGGCACTCTCAGTTGTACTGGTCTCTTCCAGCTGCACACTTAGGGACAACATACCATGGCCCTTGTCACTTATGTTGGCTGTAATGTATCCCACAGATATCAGCAAATGCTACAAATCAGAGCATGTCCCACCCCCCAGTCCTGCACTCTGGGGATCAAATCCAGGGCCTTGGTACTGAGCTACATCCCCAGCCATTATATTTTTTGAGACAAGATTTGCTAAGTTGAGCGCAATGAGCTTCAACCTGAAGTTCTCCTGCCTCAGCTTTCCTGAGTGTTGGGATCACCTATTGGGATCAGGTGTGCATCACCATGCCTGGCTAAGGTGTTGCTAGCAGTATGGGGTACCCCTTTGTGGGAGCCTGGGGAAACAGTAATATAGCCAGTGTGACTGGGGAAAGGGTCACAGAAGGGCCCAGCTTTGCAAAGGTAAATACAGAAGAGTAACCAAAAAGCACATATTTATTCAAGAAGCATGTTATTAAACCTGAATGCTTATTTCCCAGGCACTATGAAGAATGCGGAAAGAGAAGACAAAACTGGGGAGCAGTTTGGGGACAAGGTGTTATGAAAAACGGTGGTACTCAGTGAACTGTGACAGTCAGAGTTTTATGGAGAAGAGGGTTACACACTGAACACTTACTGTAGGAAGTTTTGTGTGGCTGCGATATTGACATGGCAACATCTTATTTCAAATAATCTAAATTCAGGCGTGTGCAGTCAAGTGCTCTGGAGCACAGCCCATCCACAGCGCCCCCTGCCGGTTGGCCGTGTTGCTAACTTAGGACCTGCTGCTCAAGTCCAGGCCCTGTGTTTCTTCCCATCAGCAGCTCCGAACTCCTGCCCGACTCCTGCTGCTGTTCTTGCCTACAGGCGATTTTCTGACCAGCCAGAATGATGCTGTGTTCCTTGTGGGCCTCGGGCCTCCCTTGCCTTGTGTCCCACTCTTCCAAGGGCCTCTTGGACCCTTGGGAGCACTGTCTCCTACCACTGCACCCTTTCCTTTCCTTAGCCACCCCCACCACCTCCACTGGGCATCCTGCCCCTGTGGCCCCTCTCCATGGGATGCACTTTCTCTAGAGACCCCTTGCCTTTTTTCTTTATTTTGTTAAATTTGTACTTAAAAAGATCTTCCTTGGCTGCTTTCCCTCATGTAGGCCCCTCCAACAGCTTCTAGTCCTGGTGCTCTGTGCTTCTGCACAGCCGTGTCAGCTCCAAGGCGCTGTCTGAGCTCTCCCCTGCAAGACTCAGTCTCTGTTGCTCCCCACTGAGCCCCATGCCTGCAGCCGTGCGAGCACATACTTGGCACTCACACTTGGTGAACAGGGAACAGAAATCTGATCGTGGGGTCCACAGAACCAGTTGTGTGATTCATGACGTACAAATTATTCTGCCTCTTTAGGACTTGAATTAAGTTCATTTCATTGAGAATGAAAAGTAACTTTGAAGACATGCATCACTTAATTTAATAGACTACTTTGGTAAAAACAGGAAAGTTGGGTGAATGTTAAAGTTGCTGTGGGATTTGAACTGGGTATCAAAAGGAGGCCGTCACCTGAGGCCAAGTGGGCAGGATGAGGTGCTTATCTGGGAAAGGGAAAAGAGTGGTAAGTTTTGTTTCAATGTATTGATTTTACATCACAGGATATTTTAGAATTTCTTACATTCTGTGGAGTGAAAAATCAATGTTCTTGATCAGGAGATGCTGAAAAGCCAGTTTCCTTGAGGCTCATTTTGGGCTGCTTTCTAGACCCGTGCAGTCCAGCATGCACTGTGGCTATGGGTGGCTTGCAGCACTTGCAGTGTGAGTGTCACCTGCACGTGGGTGTTACAAGTTGGGGGAGAGTGTGTGTATTTTTCACATAATTGCATGTCACAGTTATCACTGTTTTAGATATACTGGATTAAATACATGACTAAATTCTTAGCTTTTCTTTTTACTTTTACGTGTGGCTACTGAAAATGTAAAATGACACTCAAGGCTTGTGTTTGTGGTGCTCACAGGTACTTCTGTCTCTAGCAGTCTCGATCCCAGGATGATGGGGTCAGTTTGGCTTTAGTGCTCAGGACTCGTTCTGCTGTCCTTTCTCTTCCTTCATGTTAGCAGGAAAGCATTCTCTCTCCTTAGAATTTGTATTCGTGAATTTAGAAATTGTATTCTTTTTATCAGTGGGAGCACTTTTCTTCAATCTTGCTTTGTAAACAGACAACAGTATGGGGCTGGGGATTTAGCTCACCAGCATAAGCACCTGCCTTGCAAGCAGGCGGTTGTGAGTTTGATCCCCGGTACCAATAAAAATTAAAAAATTAAAAACAAAAACAGACAACAGTACCTCCTGTCTGCTGCCCACCTGCCAGTGCCTGGGGTTGCACCCAGGCTGGGCACACGGGTGGTGAACACCTTCCCCTAGCCTGGCTGCACCCAGCAGCACTGGCTTTAATGGAAGAGTGGGGGGAAACAGCTCTGTGAAGAGGGGCAGCAGGGGCCTGGAAAAGTGTTTGTCCTGGGGTGACTCAGAGACCTCGTCAGATGCTGGGAAACTGGGCCTCAGATGACAAGAGCAGGCAGTGATGCAGGTCAGACTCTGCAGCCTGTCCTGAACGCTGGGTACAAGAAGCTGGGCAGGGGGGAGCTGCCAGAGGCGCTGGAAGGCTGGAGGGCAGCCCACGAAGAGGCGGGGAGGGAGGGAGTGAGGGAGGTTGCCTTGCGCACCCCTCAACAATGGCGAGCAGGCGCAGCAGCTGAGACCCTCTGCTCCCTACTTCAGTTCCTGACTCAGTTAATAGGAAACAACAACTTCAGGTGAAAGTGGAAGATTGTCCTTAATTTTTCTTTAGTCAAAAAAGTGAATGATTTCACTTCAGCTCTTACATCATCTTTCATCAGACTTATGTGGTTGGTGTTTTTCCTCTAAGATACACAAGACTAAATGGTTTTCTGAATTAACCTAAAATGTTTCATTATTAATACTCAGTTTTCTTTCTCTGCCAAAAATTTCCTGTTTAGAATTTAAGCATGTGCCATTGTTAAATTGGAGAAGAGAGGAGGGTGAGGCGTGACTGGGGTCTGCCTCCTGCTGGCTCCCACACTGGAGCAGTCAGTACCGTGGCATGGGCATGGTACTAGGCATGGGCACGATACTAGGACACATCCTGAAAGGCCACCACAGTGCCTGGCACCTATCAGTCAGCTGGCTCCAGGTGTTTCATATGGGACACAAGGAAGTATCAGAGTGTTTGGGTCTGAAAGGGCTCGATGGACATGCGACTGTGATGTTTGGTCTCTGAGAAAAGGCCTCAGAGTACACCGACACACACGCTCACTTCCCTTTACATACTGAGTGACGGTTTGTGACTTTAGTGTTTGTTTTGAGCAATCCATTTCTAAATCTTAGGTTTTGTGCTTCCTGTCTTCCAGGTATTAGTACACTTGAAGTTAACATTAGAAAAGACCATGTAATTTGCTGTAAGAAATGATTACATACTGGGTAGTATTGGGTTTGAAATTTCTCTAGCTTTACCATAGTCAACTAGAATTGCAGTGTAACAGTGTTGCCTCAAGAAAATTAAAAGCGGGGATGGAGGTTTAGCTCAGCGGCCTAAGCGCCTGCCTTGCAAGCAGGCAGTTGTGAGTTCGATCCCCGGTACCGATAAAAAGGAAAAAGACAAAAAAAAAGAAAGAAAGAAAGAAAGAAAGAAAATTAAAAGCCTACTAAGCATCATTTGTGAGTAATGAGAATTTTGTTGTGTTGCTTGGACTCTTTTATTCGATCTGGTATTGGAATTGAAGTGGCAGTTGGGTAAGTTTGTGGATATGTGCGCTGGCCTATCTGTGCTAAAGTGCTGGTTGTGTGCTCTGGTAAGCATGCAGGGCAGTGGCGCATTCTGCTCATGGGGTGTGCTGATTCTCACAGGGGCTCCCTGTGCGTCCTGCTTCCCATTTCACCATCCACTGTGGCTTCAGAGGTCTTGGTGAGGAGCCCAAGGTTTCCTAGTCTGGGCCTGCATCACCCCATAACTGTTTGCTTATTTGTTGAAGTCTAAGGTCGGGAGTTACTTTTGTATCCTGTTTCGTGTGCTTACACATTTCTTCAAAGTTGGTGCCTCTGGTGTAAGGTGCTGTATGGGCCCAGCAGTGGCCCTTTGGTCTGTGCCCTCCTGGGCTGGTGGTCCAGCAGGGAAAGCAGGTGTTGGATTGCAGCATGGTCCAGCAGAGACCTGTGAAGACCGTGAAGAGAGGGGAGGCTGTTGTCTGAGCAGACTGGAGGTGACTGGGATGCCTCAGGCAGCCCGGGTAGCACCTCAGTCCTGCACAGTTGCAAAGGCTTGCAGGGACAGGTCCTGGAGCCTTTGTGCACGTGAGGGGCTTGAGACTTGACACAGAAGCCTTGGGAACCACCACAAGGCCAGTCAGGACTCACGCAGAGCAAACAGCAGACAGGCTGGGCAGGGCGTGTGTCTCCAGAGAGTAGAGTCACCCTCTTTCTGTGTTCAGGGATACGCATCTGGGTGAACTTTTAGCATGTGCACTAGCTTACTTCCCTGAGATGATACATTTCTAAGAATCTGCTGGCGTTTCTCAACAGCATTTCTTTCTCTTTTCTGTCTTTCTTTCTTTTTTTTTCTTTGCTGGGAGTTGAACTCATGACCTTGCACTTGCCAGGCAGGTGCTGTGCTGCTGTGCTATGTCCCCTGCCTCTCAACAGCATTTCTGCATGTAAGACACACACACACACACACACACACACACACACCCCTTTCCTTAACAATATACATTTTTAATTATCTAGAATTTTTTCTTTATTGCTTCTTGGCTGCAAAGCATGAAGACAGGGTCTGTGTCCTCTAAAAGGTTACCATTCAGTGAATTTCAGATTTCATGTAGCAGTGTGCTTACAACCATGTAAAACCTTGTCCTATTTTCTAATGAATAAACCTCAGTTTAGAACAATGAGATAACTTCAAAGAGCAATGCTTTTTCCATATAGCTCTAAATTTCTAGTTAAGTGCAGTAACTTCTTTACATTATCTTCAGATTTTTCCCTTCCTTACTTTTTCAACTCAAAACCCCGAGGTACAGTCAGAGCACTTTCTGCCTTGGAGTCTAAGGCTGTCAGTGGGAGGGGATCTCCTGAGGCCCTTTTTACTCATCTTGAAGGCTGACAAGAAACTGAAACAGCTTTTGAACAAATTGACCATTAAATGTGACATCCATTTTTGATAACACTAACCTTGCTTAGATAGAACATATGCCAAATAGTATCTGTCACACAGCGTTTAGTTCACCCAGTGTCCTTCAGGTAGGCACTTATGCCCTCAGCTTGGGCTGCTAGAACCCATTCCCCTCAACCATGCATTTATTTCTCACAGTTCTGGAGGACAGGAAGTTCAGGCTCAAGATGCTAGCAGCTCTGGTGTCTGATGGGGCCTCTCCCTCACTCATAGACAACTCGCCACCTTCTCACTGTAGCCTCGCCTGTGGGAGGGTCATGGGAATGTGCTGGGGTCCCCGACAACCTCAGGACCTAGCACCTAATGAAGGCTCTACTTCTGATACCATATAGGAGGTTAGGGTTTCACTGTATGTATTGGAGGAGGCACAGATATTGATCCCAGCCCAACAACATACATACATGCAGATACACTCATTCTATCCCGACATCCCCTTCTTTACCTCATTTCAGTATCAACCCAGAAGTCTGAAGTCTAAAATCATGTGTCCCTTTTGAATGTAGCTAAACCAGATGTTAGTAAGATTCTGATTGTAATTTGTTGTATTGCTCCCTTCTGTAGGTCCATAAAGCTGAGTATTAATCAGCTTTTTCTCATTGTAACAAAGTACCTGAGATAATTAACTCAGAAAAGAAGAGACTGATTGTTGACGCAGTTTTGAAGCCTGCTGGCCATGACTAGCCCAGCTGTCACTTTAAGGGCTCCGATAGGGTCCCGGACAGCAAGGGCCAGGCCTGTGTGGAGTGAGGAAGAAAATATGAGGGTCCAGTCACCCCCCCCCAAGGGCATACTATGTAACCTAGGGACTTCTCATTAACCCCCCCCAACTGACCCCCCCCCCCACTACCCACCCCCTTGCCCAGGAGTCCTCCCACTTCCCAGCATCGCCATCCTCAGCCAAGCTACTCACGTCTGGTCCTGGGGGACAGTCAGCATCCTGACTGTGGCTCCAAGCATGTGTTCTATACTTCCAGAACATATGATGGGACAGAAGGGGACAGACGTTTATATCAGCCTGTCATTGCTTGGATCAGACACCCCAATACACAGCTCAAGAGAGGAGGGGTTCCTTTAGCTCACAGTTCAGGGGGCCCCATAGCAGAAACGGTGGGAAAGCAAAAGTGCTTCGTAGTGGCGACTCAGAACAGAGCAGAGAAGCAGCCCCAGGGACCAGATACAGTGCTCAGGGTCACCCCTGCTGGCCCCACAGGCCCTCAGAAGTACGCCCTACTGACCCTTAGGTGAAAACGTGGTTTAACTGTCACAGTGTCCAGTCCAAAAGGGAGAAACTGGGCTACCAGGGAGTCCCAAGTGCAAGGCCACACCACAGGCTGTAAAGGCTGGGGAGGAATCACTGGGCTTTGTCCTCGGTCTTGAGCCCACTGGGACTTTCATACCATGAGGTTGCGGCCCAGTTCCCAGGACTCTGGGTGGTCCTGTCCCCACAGCTTAGGGTTCAGGAGCTGTTGCTGCTGGAAGTGAGGCTCTGGTCTGCCTTTCAGGATCAAGGAAGTGGTCCTGCTGGTCTCCAGGTCACCTTCAGGGCCATTCTGTCCTCCTCTTGCAGCACAGTGCCTGACTTCTGCTGAGACCAGTCATTTTAGGTCTGTGTTCACACCCGAGTGAACATTCCTCTCCATCAGAAAGGTATGTGGCCACACCCTACTCTCTCCTGGCACAGTTGATTTTTACAGTGTGGACAGCTTGAGAGCTTTCTAAATCTGTGCATCCTGGTTGTGTTTTCTGTAGCAGTTGTCACTTGAAGTCATTTCTTTTCTGGTGCATGTTACAAGCCAACCCCGCCTCCATAACTTTGCTTACAACTTGTTTCAGCTCATTATACATGTCCTTGCTCCTGAGTTCTGCCATTCTGTGGACACAGGCACACGAGCCCAGTTCAGCCAGCCTCCCTGTCTCTCATGAGGACCCTCTTTGCTCTGCACAGTATTCTTCATCTCTGCCTGACAGCTCACCAGTGTGACCCAGATGGGCTGTATTTCTGCCAGCAGGTTTTCCAGGTTTCTTGGGTATTCTGTAAGAAGGCAGGACTTTCTCTCCACCTGCTGAGCCTTCACCTGGATGACTTTAAGACCTCAAGACAGTGCAGCGTGGAAATCTCCTGGCCCCTCCTTGCCATGAGTCCCACTGGTCCCTGCATTCTTAGGGATCTGAGAGCTGCACCCTCACTTCTTGGCCTTAATTGCTGTCTTCACCTGGGCTGCAGTGCTAGGGTGCTGCAGACTGGTAGCTTTTAAACAAAAATAACTTCTCCAGATTCTGGAGGCTGCAAGGTCCAAGGCCACAGTGCTGCAGACAGTGCTGGTGCCTGTGGCCGCCTCCGCTGCCTGTGCCCTTGGTGCAGGAGAACTGAGGCGTTCCTTCAGGTCTTGGTGTGGAAAGCCCGCTCGGGAAGGCTATGCCCTCCTGACCTACTCTCCCACTACACGTCACGCTTCCTCGTGCCATCCCGTTGGGTGTGAGGGCTGGCACATGTGAGTTTGGGGCTGGGACCACAGCCGTCCTGTGGTTGGAGTTCCGTGTCACGTTGAGGACCCAGAGGGGGTTTGCAGGTTTGACCTTCTCCTGAGTTCATGCCTGCTGGCAGCAAGCTCACATCTCAGCCGTCTGACTGACTCGGAGTGTCATTTCTCACCCTGCCCCCTTGCTCAGTCTTGACTTCCTAACACTGCTTGTTGAGGATGGGAACTGCAGTCATCTTAATTCTGTTTTCCTTCGCTGCCTGTGTCATCTTGTCAGTCGTGTGTGTCCACCTCCGAAATGCATCCCAGCTCTATCTGCTTTCTTGTCCTCCAGTGGCACAGTGCAAGCTACAATTACAGTGGCTCCCCATGTGGCCTCCCTGGCCTCACTCTTCACCATGTGTCAGCCCACAGCACTCCCTGCCTAAAACCCTCCCAGTGCACCCCCTTGTGTACTGTCCCTGGAGACTGCCCCATATACAGACACGCTCATCCCTCCGGGGCTCCCGCTCTTCTCTCCCAGTGTGGCTCCTGTCCCACTATGCAAGAACTTCCCTCACCTCCCCCTGCAGTGTAAGAATGCCTTCTTCCAAAGCTCTGTCTTTACCACTGGCCCAGCAGCATGCCCTCTCGGCATGCCCATTACAGCAGCCTTTTGGAAAATCCTATTTATCACTAACTTTTTATTTAGTCCTCTGTGTTTGCTTTATTATCTGACTTGGCCCTGTATGTCACTTTGCACTAGCATACTAAATATTAAGTAAAAAACCTCATTTTGTTTACATGGTGACCAGCAGTAGCACTGCCGCCCGACACTTGTGCCTTACCTGTGGCCGGGCGTGTGATGAAGCTAACTTGAGGCGCAGCCTTGCGCAGACCTCCTGGTTTAGAAGCGGCTGTGGCCCTCATCTGTGTGCGAGTAGCGGCGACCGTGTGAGCTTCGACTCTGAGCACTCAAAAACAACGAGGCCTCAAGTCCAGGCTGAATCCGACCTGGTGCGCCACTCTGATTGTCATCTTAAATAACCAGTAGTTTTGTCTGGTGATACTCTAAAAAATGGAAAATAAAACCTACTTCACAAGTAAATAGCATATGTTTTAGATTAATCTCTACTCCTAAGACAACAGTTCTGAGAAACAGGAAATGGTAAATGAAAAATTCCTGAATCCTTAAGTTTTATGAAGTCTTATATAAAGAATGAATGTGAAAAAGAAAAAAATTGGTGTAACACATATAAAAGTAAAAAATTGAGAAGCTTCAAATTGAGAAGCTGTTAAATATGAAATAGGCAGTATCTTTTTCTCACTTTGTATTTTCAACTGTGGTATACTAAGTCTTTTAATATGTTAATCTAAGCCTTTAGTAAAAAATTATTTCCCAAATAAAAGCTATCTTTAGCTTGTGACATTTCAAAGAATAGTCATATGAAAAAATAAGTTTTTTTTCTGAAAATTTGAAGTATCCAGAGTAAAATCTTTTCATTTTTATTTAAATTGGTAATATAAATTGAAAATGTTATTTAGTGTATTTGGAAGATAAAAAAATGAGGTGATTGAAAATGAAATCATATTTCCCTCTGTATTTGAAAAGAATATATATTTTCCCAAAGATCTATCCCTCAAAATTTCTCCAGACTTGTAAAAAGGTGAATCCAGATAGTAAGTAATTTTGGAAATACATATTAAAAGTGGAATTTAGCAGAGTGTAAAGGCATCTCCTGCACCTTTTCCCACATGAGCAAAGCCCTATTATTATTCTCTCTTTAGTGATTATCTCAGGTGGTTTCTGGTTCCAGCCTGAGTGGTCAGTCTCGGTGGTGCTTTGATTCTCATGACTGGTTCCTCTGTGGAGTAATTCTCGGAGCACCCATGGAGTGCTGTGATGCTCTCAATGATTCTGTTGTAGGTTGGAGGAGGAACTTAGAGCAGCGGTATGTTTTCTAGGTTTTTCAGCACTGTCGCCTTTTAAGCTGAATTCTGGTGTGCAGTTGTGGCTCGCAGTCTCTTGTGTAGGTAAGTCCATGCCCACCCACCAAGCACACAGTCTTGAGGGCTACAGGTCATTTTAATGTTCTCATTTCTTCCTCAGAACCGATTTTGGCTTCTTAGTTGTTGAGCTATTTGAACTAACTTTCTGTGTTTTGCTGTTCCTTGTGTCCTCCCATGTCACGCAGTGGTATTTTGAACTCTTTCTCTGTTCTGTGTCTCCTCACAGCGGCAGTCTCTGGGGGAGGCATTGCATAAGTCTGTCAGCAATGTAAGTCGACGCACAGGGGCATGCTGCACTTGGGTCTGCATAAGCAACACCGCTGCTTTAAAGCTTTACCTGATGTAAAGCGCACTTTGGCCTCCAGTGAGATGCTTTGTAGATGGGCAGTAGTAGCTGCTGTCAGCTGTTTGCGTATATGCTTACGGCTGCCATGTCATATGACAGGCATATCTGTTACAGTTTTTAGTGCTGCTTGCTTATTTGAGAGTATTGGACATCATATCAATGCCTCACTGAGGCATACTATGACTTTCCAACCCCAGTCACTGCTCCTGGGCTGGTACGAGGGAGCTGCCTACGTAGTATAGGATTCCCATTTGGTCCCAAAACAGATTCAGATGTGCAGCCAGCTGGACAAGAAGGAAGTAGGCGAGGAGGACAAAGTGCCTACAGAAGAAGGTCTGTGTGGTCATTGAGAAGAACAGAGGGGAGGCTGGCATGGTGGTCTGTCCTTGCGATTCAAGGGCAGCCTGGGCCACACAAGGAAACTATGTCTCAGAACAGAGTGGCCAGGTCTGTGGACCGTGGGTATGCTGTGAGTACACTGGGCAGGGCAGAACAAGACTAAAACCCTCCCGAGAAGAAAACCATTGCATGTCCTATGTGGATCAGTGGGCTAGCTCACTTTGAGTAGGCTGGGCGTCTGTAGCAGCGCAGTCAGGACAGCTCGAGGCTCCGCCTTGGGCCTGGTGTTTCACACCGGGCACTGGGCTTGTGGGCCGTCACCCCCAGAGCAGCCCGGAGTCTCTGTCTCGGCTGCTTCAGACAATACGGACTCATCTTTTCAAGGCTTGCCCTGTGGCCACCAAAAACATTGTGTGTATAAAGCATTGCTAGTATTTTGTGGCAGGTGTATTCTGTACATTTAGCAAGAATCGCCATGAATTCACAGTTGAGATAGTTTTAAAGACCAACAGAAAACAAAACAGGTACTTCTGTACCAAGACAGGCATAAGTCATGACGTCTGTAGTGACACATACCAGAGAAAACCATTGGGAGCCTGGTCTGCTACCAGACCGGACACTCAATCGGAGCCTTGGGGGTCCAGCCTACAAGGATTTGCCTGACATCTGGCCAGCACCTGGAACACAGAAGGTGGTATCAGTATCAGAAGATACCTTTTATTTAGAGTTTTTTTAAACATTGTATCTAAAACTAAGTTTGTGGGTAAAATGTACATAATTAATGACATTTTCCGACCTGTCCTGGCTGCTCAGATTTGGTGGTTTAGTTTTTATTTTGTGGAAGTGGGAGTAGCAGAATGCCCATGAAACTGCTCTGTAGAAAGCAGTAAAGCTTTTCTTTAGAAAAGAGTATTCAATAAAAAAGAAAAAAGATAAAACTATCTTCCATATTTTCAAAAGCACAGTAAAACTTTATTTTCAAAAAGATAGTGGCATTTTTTAGTGTGAAGATCCAAAGACATCAATAACTGTCAGCATAGCATAGCTTTTACAGCTGTTTACAAAATATCTGATAGCTATTAAACAGAGGAATATATTATATAATTCCTGTCTGAATTGCTGGAGTAAGAATTTTAAAGGCTATTTTTTTCCATAATACTCTTTTAGTGTATTACAATAGGTAGAATTTTTAAGTCGTAAAATTGTGTAGAAACTAATACCTTGTGTTACCTGATTTGAATATATGATTCAAAGCAGCTACTATTTCTCATTCACTCATTCAGCAAATACCCTCTAGATATTCCACAGTACTAGTCCTGGTTAAAGTTACCCTTTCATGCAGGTTTCATCCTTGTTCTATATTAATAATGTATTTCCATAGAGTAGTTTAAATTCAGCTGTTTTCATACAGCTATAGAACATTAGTTCATTTTACATTGCTTCGTTCATTATTTATCTTATAAAATACCATGTAATGTTCATGCTGAATAAAAGGCTGATTTATTTATTGCAATTCCACTAGTTTAATTATTAAAAATAAGTGAATTTTGGTACTGCATTGCATGACTGAGGCTTTCTGCATATAATCCACATTACAATTATTACCACATTGAGCATGATTCTGAAGATTGTAGATGGCCTTAGTATTATTTTCATGTGCTTTAAAGTTAATACAAAATAAGTATATTTGAATACTAAATTGCATGACATGTCTTTTTGCATATGGTTTATATTATTTACTTGGTTAATGCGATGATTGATCAAACACCCTTAATTGGAAAATATTATTTTAGAGTTCTTTCAAGATGAAGTACATTATAATGTAAACTGTTGAAACATTTTGTTTTAAGATGGAGAAGTTTAAAACCATTTGGATTTTGAATATTTAACTGTGACTGTGGCATTTCACTGATTTAATGTTATGTCCTCTCATGAGTTTCATCCTTCAGTAGTTCAAGTTTGAGTTGATACAAGGACACGAGGCCTTGTTGCACGTGTGCTCCTGTGCATGCCCTGGCATGTAGATGCCCCCGCCTGGATGAGCAAGGCAGGGCTCCAGGGCTGGCTCTGGGAGGAGCAGGTTAATTGCCTTCTCCATCTGGCCAGCCAGCTGGGCGGGAGGAGCACACCTGTCCAGGCCACAGTGTGCACCCTGACCCTAAGCCTGCTGGGATTCCCTTAATGCAACAAGGGGCATTCCCATGGAGTGACTCTGCAGGTGTGCTTGGGCTCTGGCTGAGGCATCTTTTAGTCCCCATCGTGCAGGGCTCAGTTCAGCTCATAAGCCACAGGCTCTGCTACCAGCTAAAAGTGTAGGGCATTGTACTGTTGGAGTCAGAGCTGGCAGTTTCTTCTTAACCTGTAAAATAATCTCCAAATCCCTCAGGTTTGTGTAGAAATTCACACAGAGAATTGATGACTTTCAGCAGGCAAGGTCACTCCCTTGGAAGTGCACTTGACAGGCTGAGCCTCTGTGTCCTCTGTGCCATGTCTCACCAGTGCTGGGCGTCTCCACAGTGGGTGCACCACCCTGTGCAGCAAGTCCTGCTGTTTGCCTCGGTCCAGACTCCCTGTGAGGCTGATTCCCTGGCCTGCCCTGCATCCTGCCGCTTCTCATTGCCCTGTTTCCTAGTGAGAGCTCTTTTCTCTGTCTCGCTTTGCCTCTCTGGCCCTTCTCTGTGCTTTTACTTTCTTTCCCAGCACTGTTTCTCTGTGAGACAGTGCGGCAGCCTGCCTGCCATCAGAGGAGTCTCCCATTTACAGAATCTCACTCTGAGTTTCCTCTTCACAGCTTTCTTGGCTGTAGAAACTGTTCTGCTTGCATCTAAACTGGAGTCCTGAGTGCTTGCAGGACTTACTTTACAACTCTGTGCCTGTGTCTTAAGTTCCTAAGAGTAGCGTGTGTGTTTTAGAGTATATAGTTTCAAATTGCAGCAGCCTTTCTATGCGAAGTCGCCAAGGTAAATGGTCTCATCAGTCACATGTGAGAACAGATATAACATATCCATACACATGTGTTTTTATGTCTATAAAAGATTTACTTTTAACTCTATTAAAACATCTGGACATGATCCTAACGTGTTAAGGCTGACTTGACAGTTTTCAAAAGAAATGACATGTCAGTTTTTCGTAATGAAAGTAAAGCACCCAATATTATTACAAGGGTAAAACTCTGGGATTCAGAGATATTTGTGATTTTTAAAAAGCTTAAAGATGTGCAAGGCTTTTGAAGTAAATCAAATATAAAATTTTTAAAAGTAGAAAAACAAATGCAAAGCTTCTAAATTATAAGCTGACAGATCTTTTAAAGAGTAAATCTTTAGTTCTCAAGTACTCTTAGCTGGCATGTGCTGAATTACTCCTGTGTGTCGGGTTGCTCTGTGTGTGTGCAGTCACACACTCACTCTCACAGCTGGACCAAGGCATGTGGCATCAGTAAGTGGCAGAGCCAGGAGTGTGGTGCAGAGCACACCGTCCTCCTCGTGCCACTTTTCCACTCACAGCATTTCCTGTGTTCTTCTACTGAGTTGTTACTGTGAATGGTGCTCGTGTTACCACAAAGGTGTGTGTCACTTTCTTCAGGGCGCTGCAGATGCCTTGGACAGTCTGTGGGCGGCACACTGTTCTTGAGACAACTCCTGAAAATAGAACTACGTAAGATGGTGATATCACAAGGTTAAAGTTTTATTATAAAGCGTTTTACGTGAAAGCTTTAAGGCAGTTGTTAAATAGACTACCTTGACAATACATTTTCACCTGAGGTTTCAGTTTGTGAAACATGCTTGTGTTTATTCTTTATTGTGTGCCATTCTGCTGTGTAGATTTCCCTGCTGAAGCAAAATCTGGAGATACAGCTCTCTCAGTCTCAGACTTCTTTGCAGCAACTGCAAGCCCAGTTTACCCAGGAACGCCAGCGACTTACCCAGGAGCTTGAGGAATTAGAGGAACAGCACCAGCAAAGACATAAATCCTTGAAAGAAGCACACGTCCTTGCATTCCAGAGCATGGAAGAGGAGAAGGAAAAGGAACAAAGGGTAAGTGTCACGTGCTGTGAGCACTTAGGTGCCCAGGCTATGATTTCCTGGGAGTGAGCTGCACAGCAGAGAGTTAGTCTGCTCTGCACTTTGTTTCCGGTGAGAGCACCAAGACCAGTGTCCTCTCTGGCTTGCCTTATAGTCGATGGTGGTTAAATTGAGGCACTTAAATCTTTTAGCATGGTCTTACTAATAAACTGTAACCATTGTAGTCATCAAGGATTATTGGTACTTACAGTAGGTGTCCACTCAGATTTTAACTTACCTTTCACTCTGACCCTTAAACAAAAGACAGAAGTAGATCCAAAGTGTGTGTGTGTGTGTGTGTGTGTGTGTGTGTGTGTGTGTGTTTTAACATTTGTGTTTTTTAATCCTAGATTTTCCCCTTTACATTATTTCGATTCCCCTATGTACAAAGATATTCATAATGAAATGAGTATTTTTAAATAGTATTATTTCCTTATACATAGTCTCAGAGGATATATAAGAAATAATGACACCAGAGCTCAGTCACAAAGGGATTAAATGACCTAAGATATATTACTGGATGAGTTGTAGTACATGACAGGCTCTCCGTGTGTCTGCTTTAAAATGCTGATTTGGCACAGTCTTGGTGTGATGTATTTTGGTGCAGTTAATTTTTTAACACTGTCTTTATCAAATTATTCAGAGGACTTTATTATAATCAGGAAAGATTTGATAAAAAATGGAGTTTTACTCACATTAATTTTTCCTGTAATAGTGATTACTGATGTAGTTTGTTGCTTAGCCTTTTACCTGGGTGTAGATAGTATTTTTAAGAAATGATATGTTTTAAAGAAATTATTAAAACAAAAACTCATAATTTAAAAAAAATAGTTTACTTTCTTATAATGTAGGTTGCAGTCTTTGAATCTTATCTAGAAAATCAAGGAAGTTCCTTAGGTTAAAAATTAAGCCTGATTAAAGACGACCTATTGATTGGATAAAATTTATGAATTTGAGTAACACATGAATTTTTATATGAGTACTTTTTTTGTACTGGGATTGGAACTCAGGACCTTGTGGTTGCCAGGCAGGGGCTTTGCTGCTGGGATGTTTCCTCTGCACCTTGTATCAGACTTTAATCATGCAATGTAGTCTTTTATCACTTAATTTGAATCATTTTTCAAAAGAAATAAGAGCCTATAGTCTCACTGTATTGTCACTAGGTAGCCAATCTACCAAGCAGCATTATCTAACTATATTGAAAGGAACCCAGATGAAACACATTTAAAGCAGTCTGAGCTTAGGTAGCCAAATACTGTGTTTCACAAAGCATTTTAGGATAATGATTAAAGAAATACAGCCCTAATTATAAGGTGACATCTTAGAAATATTTTATTCTGCAGATTATGATAAGCCAGCAAAGCCCTGGCACAGTTCTGTCCCAGGGCCTGATGGGCACTGAGCTCTGTTTTCCCGGCTTCAGCCGTGGGTGCAGTTCTCTGTCTTAGCCCCAGTAATCTGTGATCTGTTTTTAAAACAAATTACTTGAAAGCCTTTAGTTTACTTTTCAGCCATATGCTCTCAGGGCTTTTGCTTCTTCACTTGAATACAGGAGCAGAGAATTACCACAGACAGCAGCTACAAAAGATTCCATAAGTGTTGCGTCACCTACCAAGCCCCCTTACTCTCCCTCATCAAAGCATGCACCTATGTGTGTGGTGCCCTCCGCCTCTTAAGTATGAGCACTAAGGAACTTTTCATTAGTTTTAAGCTTTACAAAATGATTTTATTTGATAATTTTAAAAGGTTCATATTTCTAAGTCAGACAAAATACCTGGAGTCACCAAAAGTCCCTGTAGTCTGGGAGGCTGAGGCAGGAGGATCAGTCAGCTGAGCAACTTAGTGAGTCCTAAGACTGTCTCAAACTATGAATTAAAAAAGGGCTGGGGTGAACTCAGTGGCAAGGCACTAGGTTTAACCCAGTACTGCGAATAAATATAAATACAGAGTCACACTGCTCGAGGTGATCCATTTAGTCTATTGGACTGACTCCTAGTTTGTTTTCTAGTGATGATTATCTTGTATCTAACTTATTTGACAATAACCTTTTTACTGTCGAGCTGTGTTCTGCTGTTTATGTTTCGCTCCTATAATCTGGTGCAGCGCTGAGCCTTTGTCTCCTGTGCAGGCCCTTGAAACCCACTTACAGCAGAAGCACTCTGCAGAGCTGCAGGCCCTGAAGGATGCGCACCGGGAGTCCATGGAGGGCTTCCGGGCAGAGATGGAACAGGAGCTCCAGACTCTGCGCTTTGAGCTGGAAGACGAAGGGAAGGCCATGCTTGGTATTCTGCAGCTGTTGCCTTGTCGTGTTTTTTTTTGTGCATTCTACCATTTAGAACTCAGTATCAGGGCACAGCTGTGTCTCTAGACTGAGCTGTCCAGTGAATCCTCAGCAGGCAGTGCATTGCATGCGGAGCTACTAGACAGAGAGGCAAGGGGTGGTACAGAGTGCGGGGGCACCAGGCTCCTGCACTTCCTCCGCCCTGTGCAAAGGCAGCCCCCACAGATGTCCCATCTACCTTCACGGGCCAATGCGGCCAGGGCACTCCTATCACCGTCCTTGACTGTGTGGTCACCTTGGCCTTTGTCAACACAAATTCTTATTGTAGTAACAAAAATCATGACAGTTCTGCCTTTTTGTTGGTGGTTTTTTTTTTTTTTTTTTTTTGTCTTTTTCGTTTTTAATGGTACCAGGGATCGAACTCACAACTGCCTACTTGCAAGGCAGGTGCTTATGCCACTGAGCTAAATCCCCAGCCCCCTGTTAGTGTATATTTTATATGGAGTTTTTCCTAGGAAATGATCCTTTTTATAAGGAGATAAGTTGAATTTTGAAGGAAAACTAGTCATGTATTGAAAGGTTTGGGTTTGCTTTGGCTTTTATGCCATGTGGTAGCTTTTAAGTCCATCATCCTCCAGTTTGGTTTTCTTCCAAATCCTAACACTTTTTATCACAATGGAGTGCACCATTTCCAAGAGGGAACTGGGAACAGAGTGCTGTGAATATTCTGAGCCTCAAAGGGAAAAAAAGCCCCTTGACCCTGTTGTGATCTCTGCTGTAGCCGAGATCTCTGGGCCGAGTCATGTGGCGCTCACCCTCCTCTTGGGAAAGCCTAGATGGCCAGTGTGCATCACTGGTGGCAGACTTGCCCGTGCTGGTTTTGTGCCGAGGTCCCAGCCGTGCGCTGATGGGTGAGCTGGAGTAAGCAGAGGGCCCGGTGGATTGTGGCTGGGGGATCACTCTCCAGAGCTGTGAGGTAGGGGGACAGAGGTGGGTGCTGGAGCTATGGTGCTTTGTCCACGGAAACACGGTTGTCTAAAGAACTGCTTTGGATTTTTAAAAATCTATTTGGCTTTATGGTAATTGCAGATTCATATGCAGGTTTTAGAAATAGTGGCACTTCCTTGAGCCCTCAGGTAGCTTTCCCAGGGGGGACCTCTGGTCTGCACACTGTCACAGCCATCTGTCCACATTGATTCTGTCACCACAGCGTTTCTGTCATCCTGGAGAGCCTTCTTGTCCCTTCACAGCCATATCTGTGTCCCTCTGTTCCATTGGTAACTCCTGCCAGCCACTAATCTGTTCTTCGTTGTCTCTTAATTTTCCCTTTCCAATGTTGGTATTGCCCTTACAGACGAAGCCACACGGTATGTGTCCACTGGAGACAGGCTGTCCAGTTGGTGTAATCCCTCAGGGTCTTCCAGTGGTTAGGTGTGCCAGTCGTGCGTTCCTTGTTCTTGCCCAGTAATAGTCCACAGTCCTGGCTCAGCCTCCAGTCTTGTCCTTCCCCTATCAAAGGTTGTTGGACTTTCAATTTGGGGTGTTACAGGGCCAGCTGCTCTAAACACCTGGTCAGTTTCTGTGTAAACCTGGGTTCTCCTCTCTGGGAGTGTTGCCCAGGTTGCAGTTGTTTGGTCAGATGGTTTGTTACATTTTCAGTTTCTTCAGAGACTGACAAACTGAGTGGCTGCAGCCTTTTGTGTCGCAGCCATCACTGGAGGGAAGGCCCATTTCCTCTGTCTTCACCAGAATCACCACTAACATTAGAACTGCAGGTCCAAACTGTTCTCATTTGCTGGCTTTCTTCCTGACTTCCCTGTGAGCAGCAAGCAGCCTGCTGCCCAGCCACCCTGCACATTTCCTGAGGGTATATAACCTCCCATCCCTGGCCCTCCTCGCCTTTCTTCTCATTAGCTGGTCCTGCTTTGACAGGCATCTGCTAAGTACCACTGTCTCAGGTCTGGTTTGTAGTCTTGGCCTCTTCCTTGCAATTAGATCACAGCCTCTGCCTAAGCTGCCATTGATGTGCTGGAGCTTCCAAATGTGTTTCTCGACCAAACCGTTTTTTTCCTGTAATTAGATTTATGTTTCTTACTGCGTTTTAGACAGACATTCTGGCTTACACTCGGGGTTTTAAAACACGAATTCACTGCCTTCCTGTGTCCAAATGTGTTTGCATTCTCTACCCTCCTCTCTAGTTAATGCTAGCACTTTTGAGTCGCACAGATAAGAAAATCCATCTCCTGTTTGTTCCTCTTCCCAAGTTGTTGTTATCTTTGTTTCCTCTGCCACAGTTCTCTGGCACACTCACAGACCTGTCTTTTGCCACCTGGGTCACTGACGTAGCTTCTTTGCTCCTCTCCCTTTCTGCCGTCCATCCTCTAAACCCAGCCAGGGTGAACTGTGCCATGCTTAATTGACCGTCACTGCGGATCCCAGGGTAAGGCCCTTGGTGATCTGTGTTGTACGTCAGTGTCTGGCAAGCTTTCCCTTACCACCAGGCACTGGGCATAGGCCCAGTGTGGAAGCCTTAGGTGCAGCATTTCTTCAAAGTCTACGTTTTAGCTTTAAAATTTATAATTTGTACATTTTACTTACTCATATCTCTTCTCATATTAGTATTTGGCTTTCCTAAAATCTTCAAGTAAAATCCCATTTCAGAAGATGACCATGCCTCTTTAAGTTCCTTTGGGGCATAGGTTGAAGTGGACGCCACTTGGGGCCCCTGTTCTTGCACTGGTCCGTTTCCTTTCCAGAATCGCCCTGGACCTTGAACCCTGCACTCCCTCAGATCCCTCACAGTTGCCAGCCAGACCATGTTCTCTGTGCTGGTGCGTGTGTTATCTGACTTGAAGAATGCTTTTTTCTCTCTGCTTGAAGAGGCCTAACTCAGTGTTCTAGACTGAGTTCCTGTGACAGTCCCTTAGTGACAGTGTCCCTGCCTGTGCCTTACAGGAAATTTAGATACGTCCACCACAGTGGTTTCACTGTGCCTAGCATTCATCGCTGGTACTCTGCTTCCTAAATGTGTCTGACTCCGGCTTATGGAGCTGTAAGGACAGGTTCATCATTCGTTCTCCCTTGGAATAGTGCCAGGCATCCTGTAAATGGACATGGGTTGTGTGAAGCAGTCCATTCCAAACTCAGCTGAAAGGGACGGCCTGACCAGCGAGTGTCCACATATTCTAGGGTACTGTGGAAGAATTCTTACTGGGATGGTAGGTTCCTCCTTAGCATGTGTTCATGTACCTTTCATCTCTCAAAGTTTATTCTTGGAATAGTGAAGAGCAGAGCTAATAGCATTTCATCTCCTTTAGCACTTTAGTTCTAACCTGGAAGCATGTGTAACAGTACCTTGATCACTTCAGCGCTTGAAACATTTCATATCTTCCTCAAAGCTAGATGAATCTGAAATTCATGGGAGCATGTGATAGTCTATGTGTAACAGTCTGGTAATAATGTAATGGACATACACAAGTCTGTGATTTATAGTTTTACATATTGTTAATACTCATTAAGTTCCCTAACCTTCCCCTTTGTATTCCAGCATCCTTACGCTCAGAACTCAACCAGCAGCATGCAACTGCTGTTGACTTGCTGCGGCATAACCACCACCAGGAGCTGGCGGCCGCCAAGCTGGAGTTAGAGCGGAGCGCAGACCTCAGCAGAAGACAGGTAGTAGAGGCTGCGTGCTCACTGCTGCTAGGATCACTTACAGCTCCCGTTTATGCAGCTGTTACTTACCATGTAGCAGACTAATTTTTCCATGGAAATAAGTAATTCTACTTTAGTAGATAGTCATGATACTGCATTTCTGACTTACAACTTTTTAAGTCCGCACTTGGGAAGTGTGCGGACACAGTGGCCCACAGAGCCAGCCTGGTGCTGAGGGGCCCTTCCCGTATCTGTGCCACATGGCCAGGGGTGCTTCAGTGCAGCCCAAGAGATGCAGCATCCCTTTGGTTTAATTTTAGTGAATTTAAATGTGAGTTTAAACAGGGCTTTGCATAGCACAGGGTGAGAAGCACCCACAAGGAGAAACAAGATAACTTATATTTCTGATGCATTCTAGCACAACTGCCATTTGTACTTTTAAAACCTTGCCCTTTTTCCTTTATTTAGTCTGAGATCTTGAAAGTGTATACACCTGCAAGCATGATTTTGTAGACATTGTGCAATGAAATAATAGACCTCAAACGTGACTTTGCAGTCTTTGCTTGTGTTAAATGATCAGCCCACATTTTCTTCTCATTGCTACAAAGTTTTCTGTTCACAGTGAGGCTGTACTTTGTATATCTGGCTACTGAGCAGCTCTGATTTGAATTCAGTCATTCCCACAGACTCAAACCGCTGGTGGTGCATGCATAACTGTGGCATCGGGCAGAATGAATCAGGTCTCAGGGGTCTTGCTTACAATAATGCAGAGAAAGGAGTTGATTTAGCAGATCAGATGTGCTATTATAGTTCCTTAAGGACAGCATTGAAATGGTGTAAAAGTTGTAATACAGCTAGTTTGTGGTATAACAGTTATAAATATGCATGTTCTATACATGAGCAATAAGATTTCCGTGTTAAAATTTATAGAATTAATTATTGATAAACTATTCATGATTATAAATAAATTTCTTTTGGATTAATGAAATAAATTTGTTGACCACTGTGATAATTTCTAATTGGTATAAATAGTATTGATTTATATTTGGGCAATAATTATTCAGATAATAGACTAGATTTGGTCCTTGTATAGACTTTATTAATTTTATTAGTGAGAGGGTTGATAAAAGTGACTAGATCTGTTTGTACCTCTGGGGTACAGGCTGCCCAGTGGAACAGCTGTGCCTGCACCACCAGTGCTTCAAGCAGCAGGACTGTGTTAGTGAACCCCTTGTGCCCAGAGAGGAGAGTTCCATTCAGTCAGGAGGTCTGCACTGAAGCGGGCAATGTGCAGGCTGCAGAACTTGTGGCAACAGTGTCTTAGGAAAACAAAAGGGAACTTATCTGTAGAGTCACTTCTGGGCTCACACTAGGCAGGCAGGGCCCTGGGAGATGTGGGTGTGATCCAGATCCTTGGTGAGTAGAGGCCAGCAGGCCCAGTACCCACCGCAGGACCCTGGGCCACTGACGGTGCCACTGAGAGGCCATGCTCTGATCTCAGCCTTGCCACTGAGTCCAGGGGACCCTGGACAAGTCTGTGCTCGGGTATGTTCTGATCTTTCAGGTCCCTTGCAGCCCTGACATTATTTTAAACTATATTCATGTGAATAAATGTTCCTCAGGTACTTGGAAAGAAAACAGGCAGCATGCTTTTGCAGCAGTACCAACAGGACTACATTTGACACTCTAAATGTTGTCTTTTCCCTCACAAGACAGAAAGCCAGTGTGTAGACACTCACTTGTTTTTACAGAGTAAGGAGCATGTGTGCAGGATAACAGATCTGCAAGAGGAGTTACGTCTCAGAGAGCACCACATCTCTGACCTAGACAAGGAGATGCAGCACCTTCGTGAGAACATCCGCGCCCTCTCCACAGAGCTGGAGTTCAAGGGAAAGGAGATCCTGAGGATACGAAGTGAATCCAGCCAGCAGATGAGGTACACAACCCAGTGACAGGAGGACTGTGCAGTTCCCGAAGGGCTGTGGTGACGGGATTTAGTTTTAGCCCACATGGCTGCTGTCTGACCACATTGCCCTCCTAGTAAGGTGGTCGAGGTCATTTTCTCCTTTGGTTGTTGATTGCATTATAATCTAGAACACAGATAGAATTTTTGTATTCTGAACAACATATGTGTATTTATTAACTTTGGAAACTACATGATTAAAGTCTTTAAAAAATAGTATTAGAAAAAGCATTAAAAGATAAATTTAAGATAGAAGATTGTAGCTTAATTTAGGCTGTTTACATTAATTTTTCCATATATTAAAAGAGCATTTCAAATCTGATAAAATATAGAAAAATTTGAAAACTTGACTTCAGAATAACATTTTCTTAACTAAAACTAAATTAAACAGGTTGCATGAACAAGATTTAAACAAGAGGCTTGAAAAAGAGTTGGATGTCATGACAGCAGACCACCTCAGAGAGAAAAATATCATGTGGGCAGATTTTAATAAGACTAATGAGCTCCTCAAGGAAATAAATGCAACTTTACAAGTGTCGTAAGTCACGTTATATTAAAGAAAATTCATATGTGGATAATAAATTAAGGAGCACTGGGTCTACACTCATATTGACTGTTTTGAATCCAATAAAAATGATGTTTAAAAAGAAATTGAAGGTGCTAATTGCAGAGTGATGTGTTCATTAGTTAGCATCAGGCAGTTAAAGGGTTATGTTTTATCAGCTGGAGTGCAGCAGTTCTGGCTGCACTGGTTTCTGGGAGTGTCCCTTGTGGTACCTTCTGGCCACAATGACACCTCAGAATATGTCCACTGTCTAGTACTAAGAAAAAGGAGCATGTTGTGAACAACAGAAATACTATATTGTGCACATAGTGCAGTAATAATACATGCTTTGCAGAAGTATCAAAATAGGCTACTGAACAAGTACACATGGTAGCCGTTCCCTTAGGGAATGGTTAGGAGGGGTTGGGGGTGCAAAGGAACAAAGACTTTATTTTATATACTCATGCACTGCTTGAATTCCTACAACAAGCATTTGTTTTATGATCTTAAAAATCAGTAATGGGAAATGATTACAGATGAAGTTATTACTCATGCATAGTAACTCCAATATTGTTAAAATCAAAATTTCTAATTAATATTTAATATTCCTTAATATTCAGTAGGTCTCTCCTGAATACTCACAAAATGTTGCTGCCATAGGGACTTGTGTGTTACGGTCATCTCTGTGGCCCAAACCCTGCTCCAAATTAGTTTACCGTAGCCCCCAGTGGTTTGTTCAATGTTAGTCTCTGTTCTTCCAGTCAGTTGTCCCCGTCCTTCTGTAAAGTCACAGTTAACGTCCAGTTCCATTACCCTGAAACATGCTTTTGCAGCAGTACACAGAAACAGCTGTGTTTCTGTGTTTCTGGTCTGACCTGAGTGTCAGACAAAACTCTTTGCTCCACTGGGCCTCATACTGCCTCCTATGTTGTCGCAAATTACCTTCCACGAATGTGAAAGTCCTGTCCTCTCAGTTCATCCCTGTAACCCTTTCGGTCTATGAGTGAATGCTGTTATGTATGTAGGAGCTGATGTAAACACACACAGTTTCCTTCTCCTCCCTCCTCCTCTTCCCCTTCTCTTCTCTCCCTTGTCATCTCTCTCTGCCAAAACGGTCAAGACTCACATTACATTTTCCTGATCACAATGAGCTTGATGTTTGCTGTTCTTGGAGGAACTAGTACATCCTTTTGAGCTACAGTACAAGCTCAGGGGCCTCCTTGTAGAAGAGCTTAGAACCTCATGCATTTGCAGGTGCAGAAATGAAGTCCAGAGAAGACCCAGCACCTTGGGTATCATTTCCCCAGCCTTAGTGCCTCCCAGGTAGAAGCAGAAATCCTGGGCTCTCTCATCACACTCAGAAACCTGCTCACAGATGAACAATGTCTGTTTGTCCCCGTATTGTCTCATTAAGAATGCTAGCTTGGGCTGGTCCGATGGCAGTGGGTTATCAGAACTTATTAACATTAGTGTCACTAAAGTTGGTATACCACCCCCCCACTGCTAAATTTGACTGGCTTAAAAAAAAAAAAAAAAAAAAAAGAATGCTAGCTTGCAGAAAGAAAAGGCTGTGTCTTTTCACTTTTATTCTATTTTATATGGTTTTGCACATTATGAATTTTCAGTAGATAGTGGTATTTTTTCTGTATTGCAGTATTTTAGTAACTGAAGAATTAGTGTTACCTGCTGTCCTGTGCCTGCCATTCATTTTTTACTTTGCCTAGGGTCCATGTTAAACGACTGTATTTCTTTTTTCACCAGAAACCTACTGTGATGATATATCAGCCTCCACTCTTTTCTTTAAGAACTCACAGACCATTTCTTGCGAGCAGCACTTTTGTAGGCAGTAAGAGAGCGTTGTCTGCTCTGGCCAAGGAAAGGGGCATTCGGCCACAGACGGCTGTGAGCATCCAGCCACAGCTGGTATCCTGAGCTCCTTTCACTGAGAGCAGTGCACTTCTCTGTCAGTCGGCCGAGCTGGTGAGCAGGAGAGTCCTTTCCAGCTGTAGGGTGAGGGAAAGCATCTCAGCCACTTCCAGCTGTGTTTCTGGTCCAGCTTAGCTGGTTTTAAAGCCTCCCGGTCAGAAAACACCCGATGGCTTCTCAGTGGGGCTGGTGGAGGGACTGAGGCCCCACCCGCTGGGCCTGCACCGGAGCTGAGACGCCCCAGCAGCTAGCAGCGCCTGCCTTCTGCGGCCCAGACTGCTCTGGGACGGGGCAGTGCACCTGACCTGTCCTGCACAAGGGGGCAAGTGTTAGAAGTTCTCTGGCCAAAGCTGGTGCAGAAATCCCGCCTAGATTTTCAGACAGTTTCATAGAAATTTTATTAGCCTCAGTAAATATCTCACCTTTGTTAGGACCTTGTATCTTATAGAAATGCCATGCTTTGTGTTTGTTTTCAAAGCAAATGGGAGGACTGGCTACTGGAGAGGACCTAGCTTAAGCTAAATGGAAACACTCTAGAGCCTGGGGTCTTCATTGCACCTTCATTTGTAGATTGCTACTAATTATCACTGTAGTGGAACAAAAGATCATTTCTTCACAGGAGAAATTTTGATTCCACGCATGAACCCCATGCGTGAACTTTAAATAAGTCAGTAATCTTGAACTCACAAGCCCTCCACCACACCAGAATTCCTTAAAGGGTTGACTCTTTATCCATGATACCCAAGAACTGCCATTATTATTGTTTGACTTTTAATTTACATTGGTGGTAATTTTCATAAATGTTAGAGAGGGGGTCATAGTCCTGTTGTCACAACTCAGAGACTGTTCTACAAATACATGGGAAATCCCAGCATCAGAGCCCTTCAATCCTGTCTTTAGGACTGCAGAGAGGGGTGACACAGTGGAGCCTTTCATCTTGAGGAAGCTCAAGCTCTACAGTTCACAGGTGTCTAATAATACAGTTGTTAGGCTCTAATGCCTCAGCTCTCCGATTTTTTTGATTTGTTTTTGTTTGCTTACTTTACAAATCAATATGGGATGTCCATCACTTGGAAAACTGCAGTTTTATGACTTTTCAGACATTCATGTTTTAGAGCTGTCTTCCTGAACTGCACACATTGACCTATGTATTTTCAGACCAAATAAAGTGGGGGCAGCATGCATGCCAAGAATGCAACAGGGACCCTAGTTAGTAGATTTATGTGTTCTGCTCTTTATTATCTTTGTGCAACTCGATAGGAATATATATTTGGAGTAAAAGGCCATGTGCACTCATGTGGTTATCTCATGAAAGTGTATCCCAGGCTGAAACTGTCCAGATAGAAACTCTGGGTGTTTGGTCATTTCTAGCTACCTATAATAGTATTCTCTTAATAGTTTTAATAGACTCATTTCTAAAATTAATAGGAAACGTTGCTACCACTGCAGTAAAATAGTGACAGTTGAAAATACTATCTTCCTTACTCTGAATAGCAGAGTGTGACCGTAACCTCTATGAGGATGAAACTTGTTGCTGGGCTCCAGTTGGCCTGAGGCTCCATCGCCTGTGTGCCCGAGATGTGTGCTCTAAGCGCCCACTGCAGATGGAGCCGTGGCCGTCTCCACCGTGACCCGGAGGCTGAGCAGAAGGATGCCAGCGTGTCTGCATCTGGCCTCTGAGAGGCAGGGGTGGTCTCGAGCTGGTTCCTGCCTGGGTGGCTGAGGGAAAGGAAATGCTAAGAATGTCTCCCCGGGTGGCTCTCAGGGAACTCTACGTTTTCTTCCTATGAGACTCTGAAAGACTAGTAATTCTCAAAGTATATTTGCAAATTAAACCTGTCACGCTAACTTATTCTCTCCTTTAATGCTTTCCTATTTATAAAAATGATGTTGCTTATTTTTCTCTTTTTTACTAAATTGGTAGTGTAAAAATACTTTGTGGTGAGGATTAACTGAGAATAATTCTGTAGGTAAAGAATGCTTATGCTAAATAAAAATACATTAGAACTTGCATTCTGGTCAGAATAAGGGGGTTTCAGAAACTGAAAGTGATCATTTTAGATGCACTTTATCTTAACTTCCCCTTGTACTAGAACGATAAGAAGTAAATTTTAAGTAAGGCTTTACATTTAGTTCTTGGCTACCACTAATGTCACATAATCTTGCTCAGCTGCAAAAAGCAACTCACAAATCTTTTAGTTTGCTTGTAAAGGTAAAAATGTGGTCCCTCAAACCAGATGTCCTTCCCTAGACTGGGGGATGTTTTGTGGCCTTCTTGAAACCCTGCCCGTAAAAATGCAGGATAGACACGTCCATGCTGTGGCAGCACGCAGTTCCCTGCACATGTGCGCACATCTGCACGCTCCTGCTGCTTCTCCCTTAGCCTGAGCCGCCACTGAAGAGCAGAAGTGAAGGTCAGGAGACAGAGTCTGGCGTTCTAGGCAGTGGCCTCCTCAGCCCGTACTTCTGCCGCCCTGAGCTGCCCACAGCAGGCGCAGCTGTGGTTGGGTGCTGCGGGGAGCCAGAGAGGCTCTTGGCAAATCTCTAGCTTGGGCTGAGTGAGAGGAGGGCTTTTATAAAGTCTCTAAACAGCAGAGCATGCCTGGGACCCTGCTGGGTCTGGGGGCAGAGACAGGGATGGTCACTGATTTCCATAAAGCAGGTCATTGTGAAGTCACTCAGTGTTTGCTGAGTGGCTACATTTTTTTCTGTGAATCTTTAGCAGCCACAGTTTTATCAAGCTTAAATGCCATCCTTTACATTCTGAAAATAATACACATTTTACTTTTTATTATTTACATTTTTAAAAACGATAAGCAGCTTTTTCCTAAACAAGCCGACAGCTCCCATCTGCCTTCTCCGCTGTGTCGTGCTCTTGACTGTGCGTGATCTGTCCTCAGAGACATGTCTGCTCTCGACATAGTGGCATTTGGTCCTGTCACTCAGGGCAGCACGGGCCTGTGAGGGAGGTAACACTTCTGGTACCTGGTGAGCCATCGTCGCCATGCGGCTGATGATGCTGAAACATTCAGCTCTGTGTCCCAGGAGACTGGAAACAATGGTGTCCTCCCTGTGTGCCTTGTTCCCCTTTCCTGTCTTTCCTCATCCCTTGTCTGTGCACCAAGCCTGTGTCCTCATATGGCGGGCGGTATTCACAGCCGCTCCTGACAGCTCCTGTGTGGGTCAGCGTAGGCATAAGAGTTTCAAGGGGAGAAAACAGCTTCCTTTTCAATCGTTCACATGTTTAATGGGACGAAGTGGAAAACATACTGAGTCATATCAATAAGCTGAAGGTTTTCTTGTTTTTAGACTAGAAGAAATGGAAGAAAAATATCTAAACAGAGAATCAAAACCGGAAGATATACAGATGATTGCAGAATTAAAAGCCATGCTTACTGAAAGAGACCAGGTCATAAAGAAACTAATTGTAAGATATTTTGGTTTTTGTATAACCATGTCAATAGATGGTTGATGTGTAAAACAGAATATTTTAAGTAAACCTGCATGCAAATAGCACCAAATATGTGATGACTGAAAGCTTATTACAATGTTTATAATGAGAATAAGAAGTATAATTTTAAAAATTTAAGTCTGACATTAGGACAAGGGAACTGTGCCTTTTTCCTCAGTATTCTTTAAAAATCCCCTTGGCCGCACACATAGAATGTGTGTTCTGTGTCCACAGCACTGCCCAGCTAATGCACCGCTGAACTGTGGGTGCAGGTTGCCACACAGAGCTCGGGCTGGCAGGGGGCAGGGGGGCAGGGGACTTGCCCATGCGCCCCGCACTTTCTGGGGAATTGCAGTCCTTTCCTGAACGCCTGTTACTCAGGAAGTGCTCTCCAGTGTGTGTGTGTGGGGCGTGTGGTTGTTGTGAAAGGGGCTCGGAGAAGTCTAACTGGGGTGAAAATGCAAATTTAATCATAAGTAGGCTGCCTTCATTAAGCCATTTTTCCTTAAGAATGAGAAATGAACGTTTTAAAATTTACAAAGCATTTCAGTCTTCTAAAATGATCAGTTCTAGTGACTAATGAAAATGTTGCTTTTTCTGCCACTGATGAATGAAAATCTTCAGAGTAAAACTAGAAATAGAGGACTAATAATTCTACATGCTTGTTCATCAGCTCAACCTAAAACTTGGGACAGTACTGTACAAATAAAGCATAAGAGCAAAATTCATTTATGAAGCCTGGTCTGAGGGAACTAGAAGGCCTGCCATAAGCAGCAGGGTTAGATTAAGGTTGCCAGTGGAATGCAGGGCAGGCTCTGGAGAGAGCGTGGTCACACTGCTTCTAGCCCCATCTACCCAGTTTCCTGAGGAACACAGGCCTCAGGACAGTGCTCCCCAGCTGCAGGGACTCCTACAGGAAGTGTACACACCCCATGCTGCCTTCCCCTGCAGCTCCTAGAAAGGGCTCTGGATTGTGCAGCTCTCACCCAGGAGGCCAAAGGCCACGACTGTATTTCATCCTTACCACAGGGTGGATGGGCGGGCAGGAGACTAGAGAGTAAAGTATCTTTCCAAAGGTGCATGCCCATCAGTGCGAGGTCCAGGTCCATCTCTCTCCCTACCACAGACTGGTTCTGCAGATGTCAGTAAACAGAGAGGGAGTAGTCAGGCGGTGCTGGAACCCAGGACCCCTGCATCTGCACCCCACCCCCACTCTGTCCACTCAGGTTTTCCCAGTCTAGCTGTTTACTAAACCTTTGCCAAAGGCAAAGGTAAAGGCAAAGGTTTTATCACTACTGGAGCCATTCACATTTTTCCTGCTAATGTTGCTAAAATACAATAATATAGCAAAGAAGACATTAGGAAGATAAATCTATTTCCAGGGACTGAAGCACCATAATGTATCACAGTGTCACCTTCATAAATGGGAACAGCCCAGCTATGTACACAGCTGTGCATGCCAGTTAGACCAGTTGCAGCTCCGTAGTCTGCCCTGTGAGGCAGGGCTGGGACCAAATAAAACACTTAGATCCAGCCTTGTAGGAAAGTATTAGTGTGTTGAGGTTGGGTTCCCTAGGCATAAGGTCTTAACACATGCTGCAAACCTCCCTACCTTCCAGCAACCCACAGGTACAGCATGAAGGTCCAGAAATCTTTGACCAAGGTAGAGAACTCTTCTTGATATTATTAGTTTGAATAAAATAGTACTTACATAATGACATCTGTAAATATCTGGTAGAAAATGTTGAAAAATGTTTATAATTCTTTTACATAGGAGGATAATAAATTTTATCAACTGGAATTAGTCAATCGAGAAACTAACTTCAACAAAGTGTTTAACTCAAGTCCTACTGTTGGTGTTATTAATCCACTGACCAAGGTATGTGTTGTAGATACTGTACAATAGGGATTTAACTTAATATTTGATAAAACTATTTGCAACATTATAGGATAAAGCTCTCAAAATATTTTTAACTATCTAGTAATAAAATTTTTTAATTCTTTGATTACATGAGATTAATTTCATTTATAGATAATATATATGCCTTAAATATTATAAAACTTTAGTTCTTTTGTTTTTCATATTCATAAAGAAAGCTAAACTTCTAACTCTCCTTTAGTTGACTTTTTGTCATTTCTTTACTGACTCCAATTCTCTGGGGCCAGAAAGTCTCTAGCCCAGATGCCCAGTGGCTGCCCTAGCTGAAGGCCATCGTCCTGAGGGAGTAAGGTGGACATGTGTTGCCTAGCAGTGCTGGGAAAGTGGTCCACTTCTCAGGCTGACATTTAAAATTAAGTATAGTGGGTTCTGATGCCACGTGACTCTCTGAGGGCTAAGAGTAGAGCATGGAATGGATGTGGTTCATCTTACACTCTGCCCTGCCACTCACTGACATGCTGCGTTGGGTAAATTGGGTATTCCACAAACATTTATTTAATTGCAAAATTTCAACCATTTTCTGTATGTCACTACAAAGTACTCTTTCAATAAAGCAAGTAATGAGTAAATAATTGTAGGTAGTGGCTTCACAGGGATTATGAATCTTTTTGGAAGAAGTCAATAGTGGAATGAATAAAAGTGCTAGTATTAAAGTTGCTTTTAAATTGAGATTTATTGTTTCACATCATTACCCAAAAGTTTTGCTTTGTAAAAGTTTTAGAGGTTCATGAAACTCTTAAAAGAATACTGAAAATAATCTTCGTTTAGAAGTTAAACTGCTCCACAGTTGGAACTTGCATGCTTTATAAAAAGTGTTGGTAAAGAAGGCCTCACCTGCAGGCTCCTGAGCCCGGATCTTCACATGCTGCCTGTCACACGAAAGCACTCTGTAAATAATAGGTGAATGAACCGAATTCATCTGAGTTTTTTTTGTTTTTGTTTTTGTTTTTTTGTCTTTTCCCTTTTTATCGGTACCAGGGATCGAACTTACAACTGCCTGCTTGCAAGGCAGGCGCTTGTGCCGCTGAGCTAAATCCCCAGCCCCCATCAGAGTTTTTAAATTAATAATGTAAAATGACATAAACTTTTAATTATGAAGCAAGATTATGAGACTTGGGAAAATAAGATATTAGAAATACTTTTTATTATTTTGTTGGAATTTTTCAGCTGCCAAACCATTGCTATAGTACTCATTAATTTTACTTTTGATTTTTTAAAATGGAAAACTTAAACACATTTAATTATGTCTCTAGGGACTAGGATAAGAAATGCAAACGATACAGCTTTGTAAGAGCTTCCCTGTCACTTCTGATAATTCTCACACACACTTCTCAAGAAGTGTTGTGTTGTTCCTCCTTTCTGCTCGTAGACAGGCTAATGTCAGAGACTCTGAGTCACAGGAGGACACAGAGGGAAGTGTGTAGATAGTGAGGTAACTACATCTCAAGAAAAAGTCTTTATCTTCTGTATTCAATATTTTAAATGTTATTCTGAATTAATGCATACATAAATAGCATACATATAACTAGCAAAACATGAGACTAGTCTAAATTTATGAATGACATTAATTTTTACTGTGCATAACAAGGTGTGATGTTTATTGATTCTAGAGGTATAATTTGCGATTAAAGTCTGATTCGCAAATTGATAGATTTTCACAATCTGCAGTTGTATTCCTTTAGCTCTTAATTTTAAAGACTTATTAAAACATTTTTGATAACTTGTTTTATATCTTTTACCTTTATTAAGTGAGCCAATTGATAGTGCCAATTAATTGATAATGAGACTGTTATACAGATTTAATTTTCTCTATTCAGAAGGATGTCACAGAGGAAAGACCAAAATATTTCTCTAGGTCAGCTTCAGGTCTAAAGTAGCAGTGTGAGAGTGTCTTGAGCTATGATACCAAGCATTTTCTCCTTTTTTTCCAGGCAAGAACCGCCTCCCTCTGACAGATGACTAAAGTTCATGGAACTCGCTCTTAAAACTGCAATTAACTTTCCTTTTCCTCCTCCTCTTCCTCCTCCTCCTACTCCCCCTCCTCCTTATTTTAGCCTGTGTCAGTTTAACCTCATGGTATCTGCAGTACCACTCTTTCTCCTCTGTCCCCTGGTACTCCAGGTTCTCTGTGCCCCCTGGAATGCCTGTCACCTCTTCTCCTCCCATAATGGCACAGAGTGTGGCTCCTAGGGGACTTCAGTGAAGCACTCTTTGGGCCTCTCCTCATTGTTTCTGTCCTGGATTCCATGTAGATAACACCTCCAAGGATCCCCAGACCGCAATTGGTGAACACTGGTTAATGTTAACATCCTAATTTAACACAAGGCTTCCAAAATTCTCTCATGCCAAATTTGCATCTCTGCTGTTCTGTCTTCTTGCTTGTCCTTACCCAGCAGCTGTCCTCACGTATATTATCTTTAATGCAGCAAAAGAAGAAGAATGATAAATCACCAACAAACAGGTTTGTGAGTGTTCCCAATCTAAGTGCTCTGGAATCTGGTGGAGTGGGCAATGGACATCCTAACCGCCTGGACCCCATTCCTAATTCTCCAGTCCATGATGTTGTATTCAACAGCAGCAAACCACTTCCACAGCCAGTGCCACCCAAAGAGTCCAGGACAGTTTTGAGGTGAGCCCCGTCTCACCAACGGTTTTTTTCTTTTCGTTTTAAACCTCAGATATCGATCTTACATGTAGAAATCCACTATTTTAATAACAATCCAAGGAATATTATTGTGCAGTGTTCTCAGAATATTTTTATTATTGTCTAGTTGTCTCTAGACAACTTTTTGACTGTTTAAAATTTGATAATTTTTTTTGTTGTCAGTTTTCTAAATATTAAAAACCATGTAATCCATGTACTTAGAGTTTTAATATTTATGGACACTGATTCATTTTCAGTCTTGTCACCAACTTTTCATTTAATAATGCATCTTTATTGAAGAATTTTGACTTTTTTTTTTTTTTGTACTGGGGATAGAATACACGACCTCAGGCTTACCCGGCAGGCTCTTAAAAACTTAAGTGTTTCCTTTTCTCTTGTTATATAATTTTTCCTTTTTATTTTCAAGACACTAACAGATTTATACATATGCTTATTGCCAAAAAGAAAAAGTATGCAAGCTCTGGGAACTAATGGTATATGTAAGCAAAAAGAAAAAAAGCCTTAAAATGATATTCCAATTTTAAGTTACTACTAAGTTACTGATGACATGAATTTACCAGTATATTTTGAGTGTAATGCAGTTAGCCTGAAGATAAAGCCATTAAGTATGGCGTTTTGTTTTGTGCCCTCTGTGTTACCACTGATTTTTTTCTTTTTGCTTTTCTGTATTATTTTTACTGTATCTCAGCAGTGGCACTCAGAAGAGTGGCGAAGTCTTTGGTTTGGGGCTGAGTGACTGATGGCATGGCAAGCGCGTGTCCTTTTAACAGTAGGAGACACAGCGCGCGCGCATGCGCAGTCCTGCAGCCCGGAAGTGTGGCCTGCTAAACCCTGTGTTGCTTGTCTCCCTCCCCGGCTGGGTGCGTTCAGGTTTCAGTAAGGTGCATGTGCATGAGCCAGGAGCAGGACGTCGCGTTTCCTTTCCTTGTTGGTGCCCCGTAATTGCCCAGAGACGGTAGGGATTCTTTTGTTTCTCAAGTAGCCCAGACACCCTAGTTAGAGTAAGATAAAGCATAAACCAAGTTTGAAGTCAGAAGGGGAGCGGGTTGGGGTGCACTCCTTTTCTCGGAGTGTCTGCTTCTAGAATTAACATGCATATGCAGGTAGTAAAGAATACTAAACTCGACTTACTCTAGTTTTAGTTTGTAAGAACCAAGTGCTTGTCTCAGAGTCTAAAACTCAAAGGGGACAAGTGCCAAGAGGGCATTTCTGTCCTCTCTGGTTTCCCACAATCCCCTCAGCACTGTAGCATGGGGATGGTGGTGGGGGCCCCCCAGCCGCAGCGCTGTGTGCTGTGCTCCCTGGCCGGCTGGTAGTGTGGGGCTCTGCTCTCTGGAATGGAACCCCCCCACCTCCGCTGGCCAGGGGGGGAGCCCGGGGGGGGGGGCGGGGGGAGCCTGGGTCTGCAGCAATGTCTGCTGTGCTCCGCCCTTTCCTTCACAAACCACCTCAGGTGGGGTTACTGTCTCTCTGTGAATCCAGTCCTCCGCAGGGCGAAGCTTCTCCGGTGGCTTCTCCAGACCCCCAGCGCCAGGAGTGGTTCGCCCGCTACTTCACCTTCTAAGCCACGCACAGAGCAGGCGTGGCGGTCCTGGGCAGGCCCTGACGGAGCAGCCAGCTGTCTCTCTGACCTGAAATGCACTGTATTTCCTGTGGTATTTAGGAATCTCTCTCTTAAGGTACTACATTATGAGTGTAATTATAAGTTATTTTTACTTGAGATGGAAGAGCCCTTAACCTTTGTAATTACTGCATAATAAATTTTGTTAAAATACTTTTCACTTTTATTATAGTTTGGTTTAATTTTTAAATACTTTTTAATTCCACATGAGACTTGCCAACACAAGTTTTACTGCATTAATAATCAAATGATAGCAAATTATTTGACTTCAGTGATCATAGTAAAATCAAGACAGATATATTATCTTCTATTATCATTCATAATTTTAATTAAATTTTCTAAATTTACAATGTGAGAATAAAAGTACTATGCAGATTGTGGACTTTCAAGTATATAAAAAACAGTTGACTTATGGGTATTTGGTTTTCATTTCTATTCTGGAAGTTGAGCTCTAGAACTAGTGTTAGCAGCTATGAGTAATAGTATCCTATATGGCCGGAACTTACCAGATAAAGAGTCGAGTCTCTATTAACTTGCCTTAAAAGCTATTGTGTTTTCTCAGAAGTAGGCAACTTGGTATTGATGCATGCACATCCATCATCAGATTTTAATGAGGACTTTCCTTAAGACTTGGTTTACCTTGGCAGGCCAATGTATTTGTTCCGTGCCCACAAGAATGCATCCCATATCCAGTAATACCAAGTCTAGCTGACTGAGTGATGTAGACTTTAGAATCTAAATGAATCAGATAAATGCAGATATATAATGTATGTACTTTTGAATTATTTTTCCCCTTCGAGACATTAAATTTTCCAAGAAAAACAGTTAAAGCTTATATTGGAAAATAATTCTAGTTAGTGCCCACATTCCTGCCGCTGGCTGTACCTGTCTTGTAACTGGGACAGTTTGTGCCCAGGACTGGCTGGTAAGTGCCCGGCCAGGGCACAGGTGCTATTCTCACCAAGCCACCGCAGACTCCCTCGTCCCACAGCGTCAGAAGCACAGGGAGCATTATGGAGGGTATGGTGGACACACAGACAAGGCAGGATTGGGCCCAGTGGTATCCAGCAGGATCTGGACATAGAAGTAGTGTCCACATATAGCTAGCACTGGATGGCAAACAAGAGTTTATGAGACAGGAAGGGCCCTCTCCAGGCTCCAGCTGAAGCAAGACCAAGAACAGGAAGGTCATACCCTCGTGCTATGCCAATGTGCAAGGTGGATGGTGCCAGAGATGGAGCCATCATCAGACAGCAGCCTTTTCTCCAGCATCTGTCTTGCATCAGACACCCCACTGTGCAACATCCCATCACACGCATAGGCCCAGTTGCTGTCCCACGGGGACTAGAAAAGAGTGAAATCCGGGCTGTTTCTGTTATACCATGAAAAGACAGGAACCCTCAATAAGGAACTGAACTTGATCCTGCAGCACATGTAGTGCATCATTTTATGGTTAGACTTTAATATCAATTAGACTCCGCACTTGCTGCAGTTGATCCAGAAGATTTATATGGGAACCTGACTACAGCAAGACCTGGAATGAATTGGTCCCAGATGAAGAATAAAGTGAAAAACTGTTCAAGGAAACAGAGACACAAGGATATAGAGCAAAGACAGAACTGGTGGGAGTTGGTGAAACATACAAGAAACGCAAAGGAGGAAATACCAACAAGGATGAAATTTGAATTCAGATATGCTGGAATTAAAGTTTCTCTATCATCATTAAGAGGCATCGAAACACAAGGATCCAGAGCTCAGCACACTAAGCTGGAGCTATTTGGGAAGGGTTGCAGAGAAAAGCCATAGGCAAGGACGCAGGGCATCCTGGGGGACAATGCAGTGACTGGCCTGTATGAGAATGAGAAGCAGTTACAGCTCCAGAAAAACAACTCCTGGGGGAGAGAGACAGAGAAAGACAGAAGCAGGCAGTACCAGAATGCCAGGGACTCTAGGAACCAAGATGAAAAAAAAATGAACCAGAATATGATTTTAGCAAGAACAAATCCAGGGCAGCAGTAGCATCAAAAGCCAGGCCCCATGAGAGAGGCAAAGGGAAGCTCAGGATACTAGGGCAGTGGTGAAAACCATCATGAAGATTCCAATTATATACTATGCTTACCAATTGTATATAGGAAATCTCTCTTGTTTAGATTGATTCCTTTTGTTATTTTCCTCCTGCCACTTTGTATGCAAATGTTCTGCTATTTGGTAACTATGCGTCATGCTTTAGTCTCAGTGTCTGAAAGCAAAGGCTTGGGCTGCAGAGTCAGAAAGGTGGCAGGCAACATCTTAAAAAGACTGTCTCTTAGGCCAAGGCAGGAGGATCACAAGTTCAGGCCCAACTGGGCAACTTAGAGACTTAGGAAGACCCTGCCTCAAACCAGAAAGAAGGGTTGGGGCCTTGGAGGTTCCCTCAGATCAAAGGCCTGAAAAAGAGCGTTATCTTGGATGCTGGGGCAAAATGCATGATAGACCAACTGATGGGATCTACTTGCAGTATGAACAAGGCATTTACCCTTGTCTGAGGCTTCGAGTTTGTGCCTAAAATACCCTCCTTTCTGCTGGTCCCCTAGTGGACTCATCACATTCTCTGAAGGCTTTTCCCACACCCTCCATGCTGAAGTGTGAGGAAAAGCCTTCCTAGGTGTGCCATAGTGCTCCTACACTAGTCACTTACTCATCAAGTACTGTGAGGCATACAGGTGCTGGAACAAACATGTCTGTCCTCATGAAGCTTAGACTGGGAATGGCCAGACAACAAATACATGCTGGAACGTGATACCATCTGTGGGAGAAAACACAGAGTGGTGGCACAGAAGAGATCAGGAGTGCAGAGCCAAGAAGGGGTGCATGGCACAGTGGTCAGTGGAAGGGGCCATATGAGCCTCCTTGAAAGGCCACTAGGGAACAAAGACTGGCTTTTTGTCTCCCAGATGGTCTCCCAGTCAGTTACCATGCAGTCACCTTTGGCATTCCTTCAAGTACAGTGCCTGACTGCATGATTACTGGAGGAATGAAATGAAATGGGTTTGTATTTAAGAAACTGATGGTGTGTGTCTATGTCCATACCTCACAAACACGTAGTTTTATATGTAGATGTTCTGTTCAATTCTAAATTCTGTACCTATCTATCCATATAAAATTTACATACTTCATTGAAAAATGGTTAGGTGCAACTACAAATGTATATTCATTAATGTTAATTTAGTAGTGGTAGAAAACTAACATAGACTGCAAGAAGAACCAAAACATGTAATTGAAGGCCAGCATAACTGAGCTTCAACCTCAGTGTTTCCCCTCTGTGTCTTTTAGCTAGGGTAAAAGATGCATGGTTACACTGCCCTTATTACCAGAAAAAATGAAGACTTCTTGGAAGAAGAAAAGGCTTCCCCAGTGCTAAATTCTGAAAGGCACTTGCCATGTAGAGCTTTATTACAGGAGATCAGCGAGTAAAGTCATGACTGCATTCTCTACTTTTACAGCAGTAATTTAGGAGAATCTCACAAAGCTAATTTCTTGAGTAACCCTTTGATAAAAGGGGAAACCACAACATTTAAGAATCACTCCATGTAAAAATATTCTGGGACAAAAAAGCCAGGCTCCTAAGTGCCAGTGGTCCAGTATAGTACTTGATGACTAGAATGGAGAGTGAAGTAGTGCACTTCCCTCAGCTGGAGGCTGGCTGACAGGAAGAGGCTGCAGGCTGATGAGCATGCCAGGCTGATGAACACGGCATGCTCCGTTTGGTATTTGTGGTGGTGGAACCATATGCTCTGACACCAAACTGAAGTCCTAGTAACCATGTCATCTGACCATTTCAGTGTAAGCCAAATGAGTTTTCCTTGGAAAATTCTTCTAATTATATCTAGTTTAGTTTTTAAAATCACCCTAAATTGGATTTACAGAGTACCAATCAAAAGGCAAGTAATTTTGACTGAAACATTTTCCAAGTGGCATCTATATCACCCACTGGGACCAAGCCTGTCAGAATGCTGAAACTTCAGTTAAGGGTGTGTGACCTTTGTACATGGAAAATGTCCTTTTTACTTTGGAAAATGTCCATTCAGAAAAATCAAACTTAATTTGCTGTGCAGCAGTGTTGTAAACCATTTATGGAAATGTGGAAAATTCATGATTTTATCTTTTATTTAATGACTAATGAATAGCGATTATGGTAGCGTTTGTAGAATATGCCTTTAACTTACCAATCCTATCTTGAAGTGATATTGGTATACTTGCTTTACCAGTTGCTGACAGAAATGTATTTGTCTTAATGTTGAACCATTCTCCCCTACCAATAGTTTTTCAAAACAAGACTATAACTAATGTTTCTTAACACTCAGTGCATAGGAGAAACTCATCCTTCTACTCACTGTAACTGAGGTCTGCGTTACATCTGCTACCCATCTACAACGTGCAGTCCAGTGATGAGAAGAGGCTGTTAAGGCCCACTGCTGACAGAGCTTTACTTTGTGATTTGCTTAGCTTTAGGTGTTTATTCAGTGTGGCCAGAGAAGTCCCAGGACCAGTCCTGGGTGTGTAAAAAGGCTACACAAATCCCGAGGGATGGCGGGGTCCCCAGAAGTTACTGGGATCTGTGCCCAGCTAGTGAATCACTAACACTTTTATCTTCAGTTGCCCATGGTCAACCGTGATCTGAAAATACCAAGTGGAAAATTTCAGAATTTTATCAGTTTCTAAGTGTTCAACCATCTGAGTACCATGATGCAATCTCACACAATCCTGCTGTCTTCTGTGGGTGAGCTGTCTGACATAACTACACTGTGTCACCTACCCTTTAGTTACTGGGTCGTCACCTTAATTATCAGAGCAGCTGTCATGGTGTAGCATCTTGGTATCCAAGTAACCAGTATTTAATAATGGCCCAAAGTGGAAGAGTGTTGATGTGGCAATGTTGAATATCAAAGATAACCTGTAAAATGCCTCTTTAAATGACAATGTGTAAGTACCTAATAAGGAAAGAAAAAGAGCATATGCTGAGATGTAAATTAAGAATGAATCTTCTATCTGTGAAACTGGGATGACAAATCGGTGCTAGTTTTCCTGTTAGACCTTGCAGTGCTTAGTCCTTGGCTCCCTTCCTGGACCAGGTAGGCACTGTGTCCCTCACATGGCCACGCAGTCATCACATGGCGATGTGGTGAA